GAGGCAAAACTAAGTTAGCTTATAACATCATCAATGCAATAACTAAATTTCATTCGAAAACTCTCTCTTCTGCATCGGTTACCACACATGACTCAGACAACACTATCCCTATTAACAAAGTAACTGTCACTGGAACACATATGGCAAACATGATCAAACAATACCGAAAGGACAATTGTACTGCTTTTGCTTACAGCATCTCCAGAGATTTCCATGACGAACGCCACATGACAGCTGGTGTGGCTGTGGTGTTTAAAAACCATTTTGGGAAACCCACAACCTCACAATGCCTCACCAACCATCTTGCTGTACAGAGTAATGAAGACGGTGCCATCATATACAGTCTAATAACCAAAGAGAGGTATTTCGGCAAGCCGGCAGAAACAAACAACAACGATTACGATATGGCATTCAATGACATGATGCATGAATTAAAAAAAAGGGACTTAAACATCTGATATGTTCCCCTATTGGATGTGTCAGGGATAATGTGGATGTAAGCCATTTTGTCACAAAGGTGAAGGAATTTCAAGAGTACACAAACGCTAAAGTGACTATGGTTTCGTATTTCCAAAAATCATTCAGAGTTTTACAAAAAGGGTTATCACACAAAGAATTTTTAGAACTACTAAGAAGACTCTTCAATGAACAACCAGATGAGTCATCCCCATTCAAACCGCCAGCATCAGTTAACTGCATTGAAACTCAGACCACTGTCCAAACGGAGGCGTCTGTTAACCAGCCAATTATACCACAAGTAGATGTCCTCTCAACACCAGATACATCCTCAATCGAAAATGGAAGTGTTGTGCTAGTGCCAGGCGACCTCACATTTAGTGAGGCGCTAAAGCAGAGTATGTGTGTGGATAGGGAAAGTGGAGCGTTAAACATAAGTAATATAAGTAATGTAAATAATGTAGATAACTGTGTAAATAACAATGGTAACTTGTTGAGAAATCATGTCAGTTTTTTAGATCCTCGGGCAAACAGAACGGCAATGTAAAGGGGAGATCAGTAAATACCATGCCAAACATAACCAATGATCAGGACAAAAATAAAATAATAAGAATTTTCCATCAAAATATTAATTCACTGCCTTGTAAAATTGAAGCACTAGAAATTACACTTGAAGAGATTCCAGCCGAAGTGGTGGTGATCACTGAACATAAAATGGCTGAACAGGAATTAAAACGGTTAAATATTCTTAATTATCAAGTAAAGTCATTTTTTTGCAGGAAGAATAAATTTGGTGGTGGGGTTGCTATTCTTACAAAAAATGGATTTAACATAAAAGAATTAAGCATACCTTCAGTACAAGAACTATTAATAGAACAAACTTTTGAGCTATCTCTTGTAGAATTAAAACTTAATAAAGATAAAATACTAATAGCAGGTATTTACAGATCTCCAATAGCAGCTAATTTGTCTTTGTTCTTGGAAAAATTAAGAAATTTTTTAGATATAGTTCACTCAATGTACAGAAACATATTGGTAGTAGGTGATGTAAACATAAATACCATGGCTGAAACAATTTCTGTTGAATCAAGAAAACTTTATAATTTGTTAGGACAGTTCAAAATGATACATTTAATAGATTTTCCTACTAGAATTACAGCTTATTCAAAATCAGCTATCGATAATGTATTCACAAACTTGAGTCGGTCAGAGGTTCAAGTTGAAGGATATAACACAATGCTGTCAGACCATGATGCACAATTGATAAAAATAATAGATAAGAGTAAAATGTATAAAAAAACAACCTAGAATACTATTTATGAAAAAAAGAAAGTTTACTGATGATAACATTAAACAATTTATCCAGGATTTAAAGTGTGAGAATTGGTTTGAACTGTACTATACTCCAAATGAATCAAAGTTTAGTACCTTTTATGACATCTTTATGTTTCATTTTAATAATAATTTTCCGGTTACAAGTGTTAGAGAGTATCTTGATAAAAAACCCTGGTTCACAAATGAGCTAAAAAATGAATATAAAAACTTACTGATGGAAACTAAGAGCTACAGAAATTCAGCTTCGGACCAAAAGAGAATAACAACCAAAAGTAAGTTTAAATCATACAAAACTACATTGAGTAGTCATAAAAAATCCTTTTATGAGAATAAAATAAAAAAATCTACAAATATAATTAAAACATCATGAAAGATCATAAATTCAGAGGTGGGCAACAATTCTAAAGTTGTAACACACAACATAGAGCTTAACCACCAAGGTTCAATAGTAAGCAATCCTCAACAAATTTGTGAACTTTTTAATAACTTTTTTGTAAGTCAATCACAAAATAAACTTCACACCAATGAAAACAAAAATGATAAAAAATATACAGCTAAAAAATTTAAGTTTAGGGAAATAAATGAAAAAGAAACCGATAAAATAATAAGCAATCTCAAAAATAGTTTTAGCACAGGGTATGATGAAGTTCCTGGACCAATAATTAAAAAAGCAAAAGAAGTATTGATTAAACCCATTAATGTTTGATCAATTCATCATTGATAACTGGAATTTTCCACAAATATTGAAAATAACAAAAATTAAACCAATTTTTAAAAAAGGGAAGTCATCAGAAGTTGATAATTTTAGACCAATATTGCTCTAATCACTATATTTTCAAAAAATTTTGAAAGAGTTGTTGCGAACCAGCTGATTGAGTACCTTGAAACTAACAAGTTGTTTGATTGTTGCCAGCATGGTTATCGTAAAGGAAGGTCAGTGGTAACTGCAGCAACAGAGTTTATTGAATCTGTGATCGACTCAGTTGATAAAGGCAAGAAAGTTGTAGGCATATTTATGGACTTGAGTAAAGCCTTTGATAGCATTAATCATGGGACTTTATTACATAAATTGAAATTGTTTGGGATTGAAGGGAAAGAATATAATTGCCTTAGTACATATTTATGTAACCGACAACAGTTTGTAGAAATTTTAAATTTAAATAACAATAGATTGCTCAAATACAAATCCACTCTTAAACAGGTAATAAGAGGTGTTCCTCAAGGGTCCATATTGGGACCTTTGTTATTCACATGCTACATAAAAGACAAGCCAAAATTACATAATAATTATAGCTTATGTCTTTATGCTGATGACGCTAATCTTCAAATAAATGGGCACTCTATTGAGGAGGTTGAGTTGTCATCATTTTCAAACCTGGCTCTTTTAAATCAGTTTTTCCAAAATAATAGTTTAGTACTAAACTCTGCTAAAACAAATTTCATTGAATTCAAAACTCATCAAAATAATAAAAATATGCTGTCACCTACCATCATTCTAAATGAAACTGAATTAGAGAAGGTGTATGAATCTAAATTTTTAGGATTAACTATAGACAGCAACTTGTCTTGGAACAGCCATGTCAATAATCTAGTTTCTAAATTAAACTCTGGGGTATATGCACTAAGGAGGCTCTCAAAAATTTTTTCAACAGAGACTCTGAAAATAGTGTATTTCGCCTATATTCATTCAAATATCGCCTTTGGTCTTTCATTATATGGGGCAACTTCCATTCAAAATTTGAACAAAATACTAAAAATTCAGGAACAATCAATTCAGATTATATTAAAATTAAATTATAATGAATCGGTAAAACTCTTTTTTTCTAAAATTGGTATCATGACTGTATATGCAATGTACATTTATGAAACTATAATTTCTGTGAAAAACCGTCAGGACCAACTTCATTTTGTTGGAGATACTCATAATTATAATACAGGGTGAGGCAGTGAAACGGCATGATTCCTATTCCAGCTGACAAGGAATTGGGGGCTATTAGAGTACAGGGGAAATGGCCATAGCCGTCTAGAAAAGTGGAAATTTCAGTAGCCATGGATCGTTGGACGAGTGCACAACACACGTTTGCTGGAAAGGCATATTTATAAAAACGTGTATATAATGGTTTGTGCTCAGCGCGCTTTTTGTTGTGAGTTCAGTCTATCGCAGCGGGCTCCTGTGCCATCAAGGAAAGCTATCCTCCTTTGGGTGAATAACTTTGAAGCCACTGCTAGCACGATAAAGCGCTATAAAACGATTGCAGACTTTATGGAAACGCTAAAAACCGTCATGGGGTCATTTCAATTCATAATTCAAAAATGTATGCAAAACCTAATACGCCATTTTACTGACACTGTATTAAACAATATTTTTACTTTTAAGGTGAAACATTAATTTCCACTCATGTACTTAGGATTTATGTTAAAACAACTATCTTTTTCTTCTAAATAAATTATTCGTGATTTTTTTAAATCGTGCCGTTCCACTGCCTCACCCTGTACAAGATTCAGGAATAGAATTGGCATTGACAAACATAAACTTGGATTTTATGAAAAAAAGCCAATGTATATGGGGTCAAAATTTTATAATATGTTACCAAAAGCCATTAAATCTGAGAAAAATATTAATAAATTCAAAAATCAACTAAAAAAATATCTTATTGATTTAACATTATATTCTTTCTACGAATTCTCATGTAAAAATGATGTGTAAAGAAAGTTTTTAGTTCTGTTTTTCTTTTCATGCATATAACTATATCTTTTGTTTTGACAGCCTTAGTATTAACCAATCTTAGTTATAATGTATCTTAGTTTTCATTAATATTGACACCATTCTATGTACAGAGTACTAATATTGAATAAAGATTTGATTGATTGATTGATTGATTGATGTCAATCGGGAAAGCTATCATCATGCTAAATTTCAGCCTAATCCGATCATAGTTAATGCTTGATTGAGTCCTAAGCAAACAAACACACAAACTTTCAGCTTTATAATATTGTATAGTATGATACATTTAAATAAACTGTATTTCATCAAAGATTTTATGATAGACCTTTTAAAAAGACTAAGTACATATTGGTATGCACTACAGTCCAACCTAATCCTGTGAGGATTATTTATGTTTGTCTTTAGAACAACTTGTTTTTAATGCTTTTGTATAGTGCTTAGTGCTACCTCTTGAGATGAGACTTAACATTTTTATTTATGACAGGCTACCCTAGAAAGAAAGCATCTTCAACAAGCGGAAAAGTCATCGCTTACATCAATCCCGAAAGTATTAACAGATGGAAGAAAGCTCAAGGCGTCCCTCCCACCGGCGAGTTTACTTGCAACAATTGCAGCAAGTTTTATTCCGTAAGTATTCTGTCTAGTTGTAATTACAGTTATCAATCAAAAGCTTACTTAACATGCGTGATGAGTCATTGTACAGTAGACTCCCTCTTATCCGGACTCCTCGGGACCGAGGCCAGTCCGGATAACAGTGTTCTGGTTAAACCGACGTCCCCAAAAACTTGTTATGTAACCCAAATATTTGACTTAAATTTAGGAGAGCATTGTATTTAGACATGTGATCACTGATCTCAAATCTTTCCCACGAGAACAGTCGTTTCAGTACCGCCCACTTCCTGCCGATCTAGTCCGGTTAAACCGATGTCCGGTTAAAAAGTGTCCGGGTAAGAGGGAGTCTATTCCAGTGTGTGTAGTCAATCAGTATTTTGTGATTCTCTTCCTCTCCTCCATCCACTGTGAGTTTTGGTGTGTTGTTATGTTGTATGTCAATGAAAAGGTGTGCTGAGAAGAAATAAAACAAACAGTACTTTATGTGGATGGTATCTTAAAAATAATAAATATTTAGGATACCAAAGTTATGTTGTGTTTGTTTGGAACCTAAAACATTTTAATCAATCACATTTTTCAATAATAATTTGCAAAAAATCTCAGTGAAAACGTTTTCTAAAATAATTATTTACTAACCAGTTTTGAAAACTGGTAAAAATCTGCCCCTCCAAATTACAGATTCTACTTTATTAGTTTTGTTCTGCTATATAGAATATTTACATGTATATTCTCTGTACTTTTCTAAATTATGATAAACCAAACTTTGTATGTCTGCTCAGTAATAGAATGTACTTTTTGATCTGAAATCCAATTTTTTTCCTGCCCTGAATGAGTCCAGATTCACTGAATTAAGCAGTTTGGTTTGTAATTTTACATTTTCCAAAATAATTTATCTTTACTCATGTGATTTTCAGGTCGACGAGGAAGGGTTGAGTTTAAAAAGATTTGACTGTAGCTATCACGCCAAGAAGGCATGGATGACCTCAAAAGAAAAATCTGGTACGGACTGAGTATTCTTTATAGTTTAACACACTCTTTAAGTATTTTATCTGTATGCAACAAATTTCAAACTAATAATTTATATGTTACTTCTAAAACCAATATTAGCCCTCTCATAAACTACACTTGCTTAGTAAACCTACTCAGTGAAATGTAAGTCTGTGTAATGCCATCTTATGTGTCATAAAACTGTGATTATTATAGATGGGCTTCGAAATAAGTATTGTAATTTATAGTAATAATTAATAATAACGATGACAATAATAATTTTTTGATTGCTTTATGACAATTCCACATTGTATTGCAAAGGTCAAAGATATGTGATATAAGATATAAGCAAAGATACAACATGAGAACCATAGAATGGATTTGAGTTGTCTTTAATTACCAAAGTAGGAACATGGGTCAAAATCTATGTGTAACAATGAGTAAATAAAACCACAAATTAATAACAAAAAATTACTAATCTAGCAACTAGTAAAAATCACATAACTTATCACTTATCACATCTTCTGATATCTGTTAGAAACAATTTTTCAAAAATCAAAGATAATTTAAATGATTAGGCTAAGATAATTTCTACCACTCATTATAATTCACTAGCTATATATGGAAAGGTGAAATCATACATTACAAACTGTTAAGAACTGTGAAGTAACCCACCCAGTTTGAAATCATCAATCAAAGTTGTATGAACATAAGTTATTTTGTTTGATGTGAGAATGATTTCTTCTCATTGAACTGAAAAATTTTTATCTGTATACAATCGTAAGTTTGGCAAATAAACTGTTGCAATGATGGACTAGTTTTGTTATATCGAGATGTTTATTTCAGGCCTTCTTGGGAAAAAAGCTAGATGTTGCGGAAACGACATTGACAACCCCTGCATGTCCTCAGAGTTTCATTCCACAGAGACTCGGGACATGCAGAACTTGGATGGGTATGTTGAGACTTTAGAGCCAAGAGGGAAGATGCCCGTAGGAGGCTGGGGGGTATTCGCCATGGACTGCGAAATGTATTGGTCAACCAGGGGCTCTGAGCTTGGTAGAGTGACAGTTGTAAATGCAGAGCTCAGGACTGTATATGACACTTTTGTCAAGCCAGAGTTCCCAGTAACTGACTACTGCACTAGGTAAGTAATGTTGTTATGAAAAAATGGCTGCTAAGCGTGTTGACAATTTAGGACCTTTTAGGTTAATTCACTACTAGAACTTAATTTTTCAATTTAGTTATGAAAGGTTGGATCAGAATACCTAGCCTAAACCGAGTTAATTGGAACACATATTCTAAGAATAAAATACCCCTGGCGCAGCAAACCTGCTCATTTTAAGCTAATTTTTCCTGATTGGATTTTCACTGAAATATGTGTACTGGTGTTACCATAACACGTTAGATTTATTCCTCATTTAAATAACATTAGGTTTAGTGAGTCCTTTGGTTTGCTGCTACATGGAATGTAGACAGTTTTTTTTTTATTTTAACATAAATAGCTTGCTTGGTATAAAGTAAATAAATTTTTAATTTACAAAATTTGATAAAAATCTGAAAAACAATCAAACTACAACAATTTACTTATTCTCCATAAGATTAACATGGGAATTTCAAATGTAGGTTTTTTAGACATTTTTTCTTAACTATTAGACGTACAACAATGTTTCGATATACTGTATTTTTTTCAGCTCTACAAAATGTTTTGAAAGAAACTGACATTTTATACAAATATCTATTTTATGGAAATTGGTCTTTAAGTTTTTCAGTGTTGCGCATTTTGTTTTCAGAATGAGTGGCCTAACTAAAGAAAATCTGGGAAAGGCGAAAAAATCATTCTCTGAAGTTCAGGCAGATATGTCAAAGTTGTTTAATAACAAAACTATACTGATTGGGCATTCCCTGGAAAACGATTTGAAAGCACTCCAGGTAAAAAATATAACTAGATAACCTGGTAAATAGAAAAATGATTAAGAAACTTTCCTCTGAAAAGTATATTGACTCGCATAACTGGTTAGGATGTTAATAGACCAAATTGTCCTTGAGTCATCAATGAAATGAAATGTGTTAATTGTCTTGTGAATCTATACAAATTATTGACAATTTCATAAAACTGCTAAAATTAGCATAGTCAGTTGATAAATACAATCATGGCTATAAAAACTAAGTGCTGTATTCTGGCAGTTTTCAACATCATACTGAAAACCTTTGCTCTGCCCAGTAATTTAGAAGATCTAAAATAGTAGCTGTCTTGAAGTCTGGAAAGGTTCAAATTCGCTAGAGAACTATCATCCGATAGTCCTCCCAAGTGTCTGCTCCAAACTGTTGGAGAGGTTAACCTGTGACTGACCTTGTACAAACTCCCTCCCCATCTTAAGTATATGTTTTCATATCCAAAAACAAGTAGCCTATGTAAAAGCACATTGTAAAAACAATACCAAAACCAACAATATGTAAACCAACAATATGTATAAGCATATTGTTCATATCTTTTACATGAGGCACCTGCCAGTTGGTGTTGGATTTTAATAAATTCACCCCTTAAACAAGTAAAATTTGATCACAGAATTACTTTATATTTCACTGGAGCGTTGAGTTTCCCTGCCATTGTTTTTGTCCACTACAAATATACTGAGCGTTCCATAGAGGTGGGTATCGCTGAAATTGTAGTTGGAGTAAAGAAATTATTCAGAGTTAACGTCATGTTAGATTTTAACTAGTGTACTCTGTCGCGACTAGAGCTCATTTGAGATCTTAATACATGGATAAACCATGCAGTTTCCATAACTATGTTTATAGTACTGTACATTCCTAAACTGTATTAGACCACCTTCAGCTTTGTTTGATTTGTTACAACTAAGATTAGATTGAGATAATAGCAATGAAAAGACCAATGAGTCATGAACCCCTAATAACAGCCATTTAAACGTTTTTCATCTTCAAATATTTAATATTTTTTAACATTTAAAAATATTATGTATTTATAAAATGTTTTCACATGTTTTCTAGAGTATAGTTTTAGCAGGCTATGAAAAAACAGGGAACCCATTTTATTTCTTCATAACACATAACATTTAGGCACAGACAACCCGTGCCCATACATGCTTATTCCTACAAAGGTTTGTTGGTTTTATACATGTTAATTATACCTCAAAATATCTATGCACTCGATGTTATATGTGAGTAATAAACGTTTCCAGTAAGAAATGTTACGTTTCCAGATTGTCCATCCTACAGTAGTGGATACGGCTGTTGTGTTTAAGAAGTCTGATGATAAGAAACAAGCACTTAAAGTATTAGCCAGTGAATTACTTAGTGAGGCAATTCAAAATGAAGGTGAGTTAGTTTTGTTTTGTAGTGTGGTAAAACAATATTTAAAACAATTCCAATTTTAGTTTAACCGTCTAACTGATTTGTATAATGTTCCTTAACAATTAAAGTTTTTGGAAATTGTGTGGCATATTTTTTTAAAGAAAAGTCTTAGAAATTGGTTCTGATACATCAATGAATTAAAATTACATAGAATCAGAAAACATAAAAAATTCACATAACTTGTCCTGGATTTCAAGACTCTTTGCCTTCAAAAGTCTAAAATGTTTTTTTTCTTTTTAACTTGAAAATAGGTTTGGCTTTTTACAAAACATCAAAATTTTTTTTAAACAAATGTAAAATATCCATTTTTTAACATTAGATTTGTGATTAGAATTAGAATATATATAGTTTATAGGGTTGTTTTGAAGAATACCCTTATTATTTAATGTGCACTTAAGGCTAATTTAAGGAAAGATTGCAAAGATTCAAAATAGTTTAAGATTAGTCCATTCATTTTAAAACAATAAACCACATCTTATATGCACAAAAGAACTAAATATAAAATAAAGCATGAAACAAGACTAAAAGTTAATACACATAGCAAACCATGCAAAGATAGGTAATACGATGAAGCATACCTTATTCAATAATTAATTTTGGCAAAACAAAACCTCAAACCAAATTTCATAGGCATCAAAACCTTGTCAAAACTGTCCAATTCATTTGTTTGCCAAACATAAGTATCAAAACTCAAATAAAAACTGTAGCAAAAACAAGAGGATTTCACAAACCACACTTGAAAAACATACCTGGTTGTAAAAAACAATTCTGGAAAACAGCTAAATTGCTAGTCAAAACCATCCAGGAAGAATAAAAAGGTTTGCGTAGTATCCCAAATTTGAGTAAACTATATGTCATTCTCTAGAACATAATTTTGTCAACGAAATAAAAAAAGATTGATATGAATTGGTGCAGTAGCTTACAAGATATTACATATTTGATGATTCCATACATAATCGTCTCACCCACAACAATGACGTTTCATGCCGAGATTTTAGTAGTATCATCCGTGACGATTATGATTAAGTCCATTATTATATTTTTGTTCAAAGAAAAAAGTCTCCCTTTGTCACTATTACTTCTATTTGTCTTGTCGAAACTAAATATCAAGGTCTGTTTTTTTAATGATAAATTAGTAAAATCCTGTGCAGTATTATGCAGAAGTTTAACTTTTCACATGTGTACTCAGGTAATGTTAATTCTTGATTTTTCTTTTAGGGCGCTTTGAATTTTTTTGTAACAGATAGTTTTTTTTAGATTGTAGGTAGCTTCCCTGAAAAAATATTAAAAAAACAAAAGTTCACAAGACGTAACACTCATATTTTGTCCTAATATAGGATCTATTTAAAAAATAGCTTGAAAAAAATGTCTCTTCAATTTTTCTTTTATGGTTTCCCCCTCATCCTACAATCTGAAGAAGCTTACAATGAAATAACTAATTTTTATGTTATAATTCCTCATGATACCTAATTTCTTGTCACAACTTCTTGTGAAACTAATTTAAATTATTTTACCGTTTTTTAGAAGACGGGCATGACTCGGCAGAGGATGCTGTGACATGCCTGAAACTGATGTTACTTAAAGTGAAAAAAGAAGCAGCTGCCCAATCAAAAAGGGTAAGTTTGGTCAATGTTTGACATGATTAAAACAATATCCGTTATTGTAATTATGTTGTGTGTGTACATTTTTATAACATTGGTACTAGAGTAGAGTGTATTTGCGTATGAGCAAACAAATGAGTAATTGGAATGGATTAGACGTGTTTCCTAACACATTTAATGTCAATGGACTAAAATACCAAACTTTGTCCATGCCTATATTACATAACATTAACAATTTTTAAAATACCTTGTTCCCATAGTTGTAAACCACTTTTCTAGCATGAGAAATGCTTTGGAAATTCTTGCCAAAATCAGTGAATGTAGTACCACGGCCGCCTTTAACTAAGGTTGCAGCCAGTGAAAATTGGCAACGCCGCGGCAAGCACCCACTCCCGGCCGTTTCAACATTGCAGCAGTATGAAACTGGTCGCGTTTTAAATATACTGCATTTTTACACCAATTGAGATAAAATTTGGAAATTTGGTACAGAGCTCTGAAATAAACCCTTTATGCAAATAGTATAGTTTTGAAAATTAAAATTTTGTTAGTAGTATATATAAATACTTTTAAAATTAATACATTAGAAAAAGTTTGGAAAAGTAATGTGAAAAAGTTAGTCGCCTACAAACATTTTTGTTTGTTGGTCAGAAAAGTTTTGTCTGTGAGAAAGCTGTAGATATTCAAGTATACTTTACTGTTTGTATTTAACTTTTTTTCTGTCATGCATAGTTTTGTTAACATTTAGGGTTGAACAGAGAGGCAAAATCTCAGTTTTATGGTGTGGCGTGTAGCTGCCCGCAGCTGTAGTATAGTATCGCATAGCTAATTAATGTAGAGTCCGTGATTAATTAAGATCGTGATATAATTTCATGGGCAATAAAGGCTAGGGGAGAACTAATTGATCTTAATTATAAAAACCTTGGATTGACAAAAATCATAATTGTTCTTTGTGTAATTTTAATGAATACAAGACAGTTTACAATTTTGTGTCAGTTTGTCCTATTTTAAAGCAATTAAGAAAGCAATATTTTGGGAAAAATTTCCTAAATGAAATTGAGTATTTTGAATACCGAATGGGAGGAATTGGCGTGTCTTGGTTGATTATTTGAAACGAGCCTGGCAGTATAGATGGGTCTTTATTAAAGAATTTAATTTTTTAACTTAATACATATATACAGATACCCCTGTTTTCTTTTGTTTAGTTCGTTTAGAAAAAAAACTTAGTTTAGTAAATTTCAGTTCACCTTTTGAAGCTCGTTTAGAGTTAATATATAAAAAATAAAAAAAATAAAAACAAATTTTTCAGTCATAAGCTGTTTGTTTTATTAAATGTTAACTCATATTAACCAACAGTTGGCTTCAATGATCTATTACTGAAACTCGAATCTCAAAATTAAAATTAAAAACCTGTTCAATTAGTTTATGTTTACAAATAAATTAAGATAGGCTATTTAATAATAAAATGTTTACTATTAAATTAGAACTGAATGAAGAGAATTAACCATTCTCACTAATTTATTTATCTGGATAGGGGATAAAAATTCGGGGGTAAAAATCCAGGGGATAGAATTTCGGGGACAAAAATCCGGCGGGTAAAATTGCAGGGGTAAAAATCTAGGTCATACATTTTGAGCTGAAATCATTAAGGGGGTAAAAGTCCGGGGGTAAAATTCCCGCCCGTACACTCTAGGTATTATATAATTTGATGTGTTCTGATTAAATTCACAACTGTGAAAATATACGTTTAATTCTGCGTTTAATCCATCGAACTGATGACGCAAAACTCAAAAGTTTACGGCCGGAATTTTACCCCCCGGTTTGTGACGTCACGTTTGCCCAAGGGGTAAAAATCTACTACCCCAGCAGAACCACATAACTTAGCACTAATCAACCAATAGTGGCGTGGCGATCACCATCTTGATTGAATTAGGTGGAATTCGCGAATTTGTAATTAGCGTACATAAAAGTTGTTATTAAATAACAATATAAATAGGATTTTAATTTTAACAAATATTAAATACTAGAGTAAATTTATAGAAGTGACGGAAGAAAAGAACACTACAATTATTTTCAATGTACCGTAAAAGGTTTTAATAAATATATTCTTGTATTGACACAAACGCTTTGTATTGTTCTTTCCTTCTTTTCCTGCACATCAATGTTGTCAGATTTAAAAAATCTAAATTGATAGATTTTGTGTGATCGGTCCAATCCTCCGTGGTGCGAGTGTTCAGTGGTGTAGCGTAGTAGTAGAATGGGGGTAGCCATCCTATAAGGTGTTGCCATTTCGAACGCCGCAGCCTTAGTTAGACAGGTTTTTATAAATCCATCATGCCATTCAAAAATGTAGTGATCAACAAATTCCAATGTTTCATAAATGTACTTCTTCAATAACAGTACTACCACGGGGAGTATTTCAAAAGTTCCCAAATCGGAAGATCCAAAGAAAATATTGCCGATCGGAAGTTCCAAAATCGTAACATCCAACGTTTATATTGACTATCGGATGTTCCAAAATCGGAAGTTCCAAAGGTTATTTAGCAGGTCGGAAAATCCAAAATCGAAAGATCCAAAGAAAATATTGCGGATCGGAAGTTCCAAAATCGTAAGATCCAAAAGTACAGTCATAACTAGAAGTACAAGTTTATTTCTTAAAGTAAACTTATGAAATAGACTGTCCGTTTCACTTTGGATCTTGCCATCATTTGTCGGGTCGTAAGATCTAAAACTCTAGTAATCAGATTGGAAGTTCCAAAACGCTACTAGTCAGATCGGAAGATCCAAAATGCTTGAACTGTTGCGTCTCTCATATGAAAGTAACCAAACTATTTAGAAAAACACGGGTTATATAAAATTTTTCATTGACATATGATGGCAAGATCCAAAGTGTAACAGACAGTCTATTTCATAAGTTTACTTTAAGAAATAAACTTGTACTTCTAGTTATGACTGTACTTTTGGATCTTACGATTTTGGATTTTACGACCCGCTAAATAACCTTTGGAACTTCCGATTTTGGAACATCAGATCGTCAATATAAACGTTGGTTGTTACGATTTTGGAACTTCCGATCGGCAATATTTTCTTTGGATCTTCCGATTTGGGTACTGTTATTGAAGAAGTACATTTATGAAACATTGGAATTTGTTGATCACTACATTTTTGAATTGCATGATGGATTCATAAAAACCTGTCTACTTTTAGGGAGACCAAAACTAAAGATAATTCCAATCCCAGAAATTACATTCTATTAAACCTGTACCGCACAATTTAAAAATATTCCAGTTATCACCACAATACATTGGTCTATTAAATGATTTTCCAAGAGTTTAGTTACCATAAAAATCTGTAAAAACTTAGACTTTCCCTAAAATAATGGCTCAAGGGTCTCAATACTCAATCTTTTTTGGCAGACTATTTAGAGAGCTGCTTTAATTAGGTAAGAATAGACCTACACACTCAATCTAGCACATTTTTTGCAGGGTAAATTTTTATTTTATTATATTTTATATTTCTGGAAGGCTTAGTTATTTTTATGTAAAAACAGATGTATTTTAGTTTTAAGTTTTAAGTCTTAGATATAACCATTGACAATAAGTCGTTTTATTTGTATGATATACTGATACGTAATCCATTAAATAAATGTTAACTACAACTTTAATACTCCTTGTGTTATCCTAATGTTGATTATGTTTCAGGCACCACCAATGTACCGAGAGAGGTACAACAAGGTTGTAAACTAACCACCACCACTGATCTGACCACCAAGTTGCCTATATATTGTGTCAAGTGTAAAGTAGCTATATTTTTCTATTTTTATAACATTATTTATAAAATATATTATAAAACTGATATTTAAAATAAGTTCTCATTCATAGAATAATCCAAATTACATCGGTAATTCTCAACTTTGAAATGCAAGCTATGGTATGGCGAGCACAAGAAACGTGAGCGCAAACAGGATAGTGTTACGTTTGGTATACTTTTATCTATTGTACTTTAGATAATTCGGTTTTTAATTAATCATAAATCTCTGAGCCAATTAGAAGTGAAGACTTATTGAAATTATTTGAATCATTTATGCTTCAAGTCTGTTATAAACCTTGTTGAAAATGATGTACTGGGTCTTTGCTCTCCATTATTTTAATTCTTGCAATTATTGAATGAGAGAACTTCTGATGCATAAATTGTCCTCCTCCTCACCCAACACAAAAACGTAATAATCATAAACCAAAATTCACACTTTCTATTGAGATTTTGTTCTAAATTCTAATGAAGTTGGAGACATACTGGTACAAATTTGCTAGTTAGCAAGTTTGTTGGTATTATTGTAGCAAACCGATCAAACTAGTTCAGTGGGACCTATCCACTATAATTGATTGACTCATAATAATTAGATATTTGGACTAAAAGAAATAAAAACTGAGAAAATTATAAAGAATGATTTATATATGGAAGTAATAGTATTTAAGTAATTAAGTGTTTTTAAGAACAGTGACTAGCTATGTAATACTAAGTACTAGTCTAGGTTTAGACCTATATTGTTTAACTTGTTTAACCTTCCAACTGATACGTATTATGGTCCTTTATGATGAGCATTTTTTAAATTCGGTGAAATTTTTTTCATGTATTGGAAAGAGTAACTAAGTTAAAAGTCATGCTTATTAATTTAACTAAAACATGTTCATACCTTGTACTGGAGAACAGTCATGGCCTTCAAAAGTGTACAAAAATTTCACATTTTTACTTTAAAATAGTTATGGTTTTCACATCATACAACATCATACAAACACTTATTAAAAAAGTAAAATAGCAATTTTTCCAAATTTAATTTGCAATTAAAGATATTTATAGTTTATTGTTTTTTTTTTAAGTATACACTTAATTGTTAGATGTATAAAATGTGATGTGCCTAGGGTAGACTATTTATCGGTTATCAACTATCAATTGAGATGGGGACACCACCTTGTTCCATACATTAACCTAAATTCGAAATATTCTAAAAGTAAAATTCATACAGAAATCAAAGGTTTCTTTCTACAGTATGCCTACTGTACTTCCATGCAAAATTATGGAGAGACAAGTCTGTCTTGGTGCTTTTCAACCTCACAGCTTCTGTTATATTTATTTACGTGATACAGGTGAAAACTGTATAGTGTACATTTTTTTCAACTGAACAGGTATTGACATAATTGAGAGCTTTACAAACCTTAAACCTTTACGAATGTAAAATTCATGGGTTAAGTCAATTATTGAACATGAAATATTTTTGACATCATAAACTTGAAGTAGTTTTTAAACTTTTCAATTTAAAGGCATTTTATAATTATGTATACTATCATCCCCAAGATACAAACATTTCTTACACACTTCCATATACCAGACCAATTGTATACGAGACTAGTTTCGAGTTTTGTGATTTTTTCAAAGCTCATTGTGTTGATTTAATTGTACCTGGTCGAATGTGAGCAAGTTAAAATATCCTAGCTTGTCTCGCTTATTGTTTATCACTTTATATTTTTTGCACAATAGTGTAGAAGTCATATGTTCCTAGTTAATTTAATAGATAAAATCTGCACTGCGTTGTTATACTAGCAGTGTTGTTGTATTATTGTATATTGCATTGAATAGTAAGCGATGTAACTTGTATTATATTGTTAAATGTGTAAAAAGTTATTTTCTATAAAATGAGAGATGTTGTTTTGTATTATAAGTATAGTATTTATATTTTCACTTTCAGTCTGATTGTAAGTTTAGTTTACCTTTACCATGATTGGAAGGTTCTAAACTATATTTAATATTTATGACTTTCTTACTTCTGAAAAATTGTTTTTATGTTACTCAAATTTTGTATCATGAAATCAGATAAATCTACAATTACATTCTAAGCACTGTGGTTAAGACATGGTACATGTGTGTTATATATATCAGTAGAATATTGCAAATTTCAGAAGTTACATTTTAAATAATCTTTAAAATCTAAAGTAAATGTATGAATATTGTTGTACTGTAATTGTGTGAATATTTTACATGTGTTACTTAATATATATGAGGTGGTTCTCCCATGGACAGTTATAACAGTGATTCTAGAGTAGGTTGTTTTATGGGTGACTTTGCAAATTTAAACATTTTTTTCGTGGAAAACTAATTTTGGGCTTCATAAAAACACAATTCAAAATGGAATATTCTTACTGCTGATAAATTTAAAATGTTTAAATATGATTTAATGTTTATAAAAGCGTGCAAGAAGAATTGTGCTACTTTGTCTGTATATTACGTCTAGGATTGTCCTTACGTCTTCAGTGCAAAAGAAGGAAAAATATTGTATGTTTGTTGCTTCCATTGTCATATGAACTATCCTGTAAAAAGATTGCTTTATTTTATAAAAAGTAATTGCAAATCGAAGCTTCTCGAAGGAAGCCTAATTTTTTTAACTCATCCGTAATGGTTCATAGAACTGCCTACGTGGTTTGGCAGACATCTTGGGTTGAAAAACCAATCTATTTTGGACTAAAACCTTAAATAAAGACTTGTAAAAAAGTGTTAACAGTAAATTTTAAATTAAAGCGTATATAAAACTAAAAATAAAAAATAAAACAGCTGGCCCAAAATTGAACGCAACATGTTTTGTTTTCTTTAAACAAGCACAAACACCCACAAGAAAAAAATGTAGTCTAAAATACTTTTTTCCTGATAACAGAGAAATTATAAGTATCAGGTAGGGTATTGTATCTTGTACAGAAATTAAATGGAAATCGTCAAAATTCTTGTCGTTCCCATAAAGTCACACACTAATGCAGCTATTAACCATAGCTCAATTTCTGTCGCTTTTGTCCTGTTTAAAATATGGGGACTTCTAAAAGAAGTGATGATTATTTCACCTATAAATAACACCACATTTCAAAAATTACCATGATTTAAGGTAAAACAATGAATACAGAACCTTGTAAGAAGCGAAATCGCCATATTAAAAGAAGGGTTGCTACGTTGATTGATTCATGTAGGAATCGCTAGCGTTGCCAGTCAAGCCTTCATGAACTACCGCTGGCGGAAAACTTCGTAGCGTCGCCTCTTTTAATATGGCGGTTTCGCTTCTTATAAGGTTCTGTATTCATTAGTTAAAGGTATGGACCTCTGCTTAACCATAGTCAGCTTCTGTATTTGAACTGTCAACATTTATTTTGAACAAACTTGACTGTGCTCCTTGAAAAGTCTTAAAACTTTTGTAATTGTCAATAGACACCTTGTTACTAGCAATAAAATGTGTTAAGTAATTTTCTGATGTTTGTGTTTAGACCTCTCTCCCTCCTCTGAACTCCCAATCATTGTAGGTTCTCAATGCAGGAATACACATTTATACAGTAAATAGTTTGATGGATCAATGATTTTAGCGATATCCCATATAGGGAATAAGTTATTACCGTAGGTCTCATTGTGATTCTCACACCTGGGACCTGTTTACTTTTTCGTTTTGATGTCCCCAGAGGCCAGAAGCAATATAATACAATAAAATACTTACATTGATGATTAGAAAATAGCATATTTGATTACTAAAATCGAAAGTAGCATTTTCTTATGCATATTCAAGTTTTATGTGTGAGGCAAAGCCGAAACGAAAATAGAATGTTAACACAAAAACAACATGTTAAGTTGTAGTATCAATATTCAAAAGGCTGTGAAACGCTGCACCAGCTGATTGTAGTCGTAGTATCTTTAAGTGTTGCCAAATTATTTAGTGTAGGTACACGTATTACGTGCCTAATAAAAGCATGTTTTGTGTTGTTTAGTTGAAAAACTGGAGTGCAGAAAAAAAAAATAAACAAGGAGCAGCAAAAATAAGTAAATGAAGCAAATAGCTACTTTGTGTGCTAAAACCATTGCAAGGAAGCCTGCTTTGTTAGGTAACTGTAGAAGAAATAAATTGTAAAAAAAACACTAACGTGTGTAGTGGCCAAATGGAGAACTGATTAAGAGCAATGGAAAATGAGCTGATCGTGTTTGCCTTGCTTTAAATTAGAGCTTGGAAAACAATTACTTTCTTTGATATCAGCTGTAATAAAGAATAGCCACTTTCTGTATAGAGAGATAAAAACAATATATTTTTCTTATATTTTGTTTACAAAATAGGTACCAAAACAATCAAATATACTTTTTCGTATGCAACAGTAGCTCGGTTAAACCACAACTTGGTTGGATTGAGCTTCGATAACCACATTTCTACTGTTTATTTGTAAACAGCTTAATGTGAAAAATAGTTCTGTAATTACTTTTTGAATTAAAATTATAGGTAACCATAAGTCATTGTAAAGTGTTAAGTTTTACAATCTTCAGGTTGTAAGCTAATAAGAAAACAAAAAATAATTTGTAAAAATATATATTTATTAAAACTCATAGGTACAACAATTTCAATATTCAACAGAAAGATAAATGTATTTCTAAATTAATATTGGCAAGAAAGGTAATATTTTCATTTTAGTTTTGAGTGTTTATTTGTTTTGGACTATCTAACAGTAACATGAGCAGCTATACTGCCATACATATCTGAAAACATCTCTAATTGTATTTAGATTTACTCATATATTGTTGGGTAGGCCATAACAAAATAATTTTAGGAACTATTAATTAACAAGTGGTGGTTATTTTATGAAAAAATATAAGTAAATATTTAAATATCCGATACAACATACTATGTATTGGTGGGCTACGTAACTATTTCTATAGTATACATTTCAGAACTTAATATTAGAGAACTATATGTCACACTTAAAACATACCTAACAAAAAGCAAAACATTGATAAAATCATAGTCATCAATAATTTTAGCCTCTGTATTGCTTATACAGGGTGGCTGATATTTAACTTGCGCCACCCATTAACTTTTCAACCATTTGAGATATTTAAAATTGGTTTGCAGCAACCTTCTTGGATATGATGGTTAGTTTTCAAAATTTTGCCCTTAGGGGTAGTGGCGGCAGGGGATAGCTCCAAATTTTCAAATGGCAAGTATGATCGAGTTTGGGATAATTTTACAGGTCTTGACAAAACAAAGAGAATAGAAATCTGACAACTAATAACAAAGTGACAGCTACAAATTATTAAGGCAATGACTATTAAAAGTAATTTTTAACTGCCATTATGTTATTAGTGGTCCGATTTATTTTTTCTTTATGATAATTGTTTAGTTTTTTAAAATGATACCAAACTCGACCATACTTTCTATTTGAAAATTTTGAGCTACCCCCCACCACCACTACCCCTAAGGGAAAAATTTTCAAAATTGAACACAATTATTGTAGCCCCTTGTTTCAAATATCTCAAATAGTTAAAAAGTTCAGGGGGGTGAAAGTTACTTTTTAGCCACAATGTATATAATTGCTATTGTAAGGCTTTACCTTAGCAATACTAAGGCAAGCCCTTTGCAAATCATAGTCTTTATTCTTTAACAAATAAATGGGTATTTTTTGCTTCTAGACAAAATATTTAAAGTTCTTCTCGTGGTATTATTTGTGGGTAAGTCATGGTCATGTCATGGTGTGATTAGTATTAATATTTACAGAGAGTTTTATAGGACAAAGTGAGATCGTTTATAAAGGAACATCACTGAAATTTCTAACACTTTGGACAAAAGGGAAACATAAAACTGATATAAACATAACAGCAACTGTGTTGAAATTAGTCTGTGAGTGTCGAAAACTATACTTTTAGTAAAAGAAGTTAATTGTATTATTATAAAAAAATACTATTTTTATGAATGATAAAAAGTAATTTTAAGCTTAACAAATTGTATATGTAGTTATTGAAGTTTATATTTAAGTTTTGTGGCTCCCAAAATTCTAGAAAGACTTAATATTACAACATACTAGGGGTGAGCGAGTACTTGAACTTCAAGGTTTTTGTTAGAGCTTTCCATTATTTGGCTCGGCTCGAGGCATTTTGAAAAAGCTCAAAGTTAGAGACAAGCTTTTATTGAAACTAAGTAAAAATACATTTAATTTGTGTCATAATTAAAAACAACGCTATCATGATCCTACTTTGTTCATGCATTCGTTTTTCCTCAAAGCAAATGTTGTTGAGACAAGTCATGTATTCGCACACCCCTACAATTTACAATACAAATAAAGTACATTCCTTATTAAAAAAAAACCTTTGAATATGGTTGCACTTCCATGAAGAAGATAGTACACTGCACTAACGACTTAATGCATTAGTGACCGAAAAATCTATTATTTTAATGAGTTATATGGCAATTGTTTATAAATCACTCTTGGATAATCCTTTAATACTCTTTTGTAATAATAAAATGTAGTTTGACTCTGTTATAATACTTGATGTTTGTACAATAAAGTAATATTATATGATAAAACACGAGTACAACATTGAGTATTGTGTATAACATGAGATACATAAGTTAGCCTATGTTTACGACTTTACGAGTACATTGACAAATATTGTACAATACAATATTTAAAATAAAAAAGTAGGGATTAACTTACAGAAAAAAACCTTATAGTACTTATAATAATGTTGTGACAGTGACCAATGTTTATGTGAATCTGTTTGAAGACATAAACTAGTTACTTATTTGTACAAATTGTGTGCATAGTGGCACTTTTTAAAACCACCAACTCTATAGAGTTTACAAAAGACAGTTTAAACTCGAGTAGCATATTTTATTTTGTTTAAGGTTTTGGTACAGGATGTGACAACTGTTCAGTGTGACAACTGAAAAATAATCATGTAAGGTACTCAAAAATGTGCTTACAACAGTGAGTTTAGCATTTCTGTGGTGATGGGATAGAAACAATGTTATTGCTAACCTAAACATTTGGCAAACAAAAAACACTCCATTTAAATATTCATTGAAATAATCATCTTTATGAATTAAAAATAACTATATTTCTAAACAAAAACATAATATTTTATAATTATTTATAACACTTTACATGCAAGCATTAGGTTAATTTTATCTAACACAGTGCAGCCCATTTGCTGTTGATTGTAATTGAATCAAAAAAACTAAACCTAAATTTTGCTTTCTACAGTTGTCAGTTCAGGAAAAGAAATTCGCCACTACTTTTCCTCGCTCCTGCAAATTGCGAGGATAGTGAGGAAAGTAACATTTTGAAAAATCAGCTGTTTTGCAAACTAATTCTAGCAAGCAAAATGTCCCTCATGCTCTGCCATCAAAACTCTGATAACTTACTGTTGACAAATGTATTTTTGAAACATTCTTAAATGTTTTGTTTATGTTAAAAATACCATGTGAATTTGTTATGCCTTTCAAATAGTAAAAACAAACTGACAAATAACAAAATAAAATAATAAAATTGTCATTAAAGGGGAAACAATCTCCTTTATCAAGTGGAAACATGCCCTTTTAAGAACCCTAAGGCAATAAAAACAGTGATGTAGTGGGACAGGAATCTTTGTAAGCAAAGTATTTTGCAGCAATCTTGGTCACTTGGTGACCATCCCCAAACTAGAAAATGTACGACTACATCACTGAATAAAAACGTGTGTTCAATTCTATCATTATTTACATATTGCTTACAAACAGATTTTAAAATACAAAGGATCACACTATGCTATGAACTAGGAACTATTGGCTAGAACACTAAACACTGTTGGAGTATTTTATTCATGAGGGGTTAATTTTAAATAGGCAAGGAGAATTGGCTAACTCTACATATTATGTACGAGGGCGGATTTTTAAATAAGGGTAGTTTTTGCATATAAATCCGTAATTAGCTTGTACATCACATTGAGTCTCCTCGCCACTTACTGCCATCATTTGAGAATAGAATGACACCTTTTGCAGCTCTGCAGCTGACATGTACGTAGTGTGTTTTTAAACTACAGAATTTTCCGCAGTGTGTGAGAAATAGTCAGTAATACATTTAACATACAAGAAACATATCCATGAAGATGAAACATATTGATGCTAACATTCATTGCCAGATGACTGAAGGCGTGGCCCTAATGCAATAAGTGAGGGTAAAGAGTGGAAATGGGTTATGGATGGAGTATACAAATGGCTGTGAAATCCTTTTTCCTTTGTGGTCTTTGTGAGAAATCTGTGTACCCAAACCTCCAAAAACATGATTCCTTCCGCAATTAACATTTTCAAACTCCCTAGCCTATTTCCTCACTTACCCCACTATCATTGCAATAGAGTTATAAACTTCAGACATCTGGAGATGAATGTCAGCATTGGATATGTTTCTTGTAGTCAAAAGCGTATTACTGACCTAATCTCGCATGTGGAAGGAGATTCAGTAATAAAAAATAATAAAAACACAGACCAAAGCGTACACATTAGCTACAGACCTGCAAATGGTGTCATTTTGTTCATGAATGATGCCATTAAGTGGCGAGAAGCTTCATTGCAAAGTACAAGCGCATTACGGATTTATATGCAAAAACGGCCCTTACTTTAAAAACACTTAAAACAGGTTGTTACTTTTTAAACAGTTATGTATACAAATTGGGAAAATGTGTTGGGTTGGAGAGGACAGGAGACTTCATCTGGTTTTACAAGATTGTGAATTTGTTTAAAAATATTATATTGATAGCATTATTTGAGTAGGCAAAGTTTGCAGGCCTTACAACAAAGGCACTAAAACAAGGCACTATTCAAACAAAAGAGTATTTCTAAAAAACAGGTTAGCTTGAAATAAATCTGACATAGGGTTAAACACCTTTCTTTGAAGTTCATTCATTTTTATAGTTGGGATATTATTGCTATCCTCTTTATATTTTAGGGTTTGAACTCAACTGTTGTTATGTTGGACTAAACTAAATTTGTTTGGCCATTTTGCCAAAAACTCGTATGTAGCTTTAAATTGCTGATTATTGATTATAGTGGGATATTTATACAAATGATTTAAACACTGGACAAACATGAACAGAAACAAAATATTCTAACCTTAAAGTAAAAAAAAGATAATGTAAAAAAAAATTGCTCTTGAGAAAACTCTCTAAATACATATTTATTATCGTTGAGCCAACATATCACATAGGTACTAGTAAGAACACTTGTTATTTTTATTGCTATCCTTAACAACTTCTGTTGTATTTTTATCACCATTAAGACAGACCATTTCTTCTTCCTTATCAACTGAATGCCTCTCGTCATCATTCACAGGCAAGCCATGTTCTAGGAGGGATCTGTGAGCGTCTGGACCAACCAAGCTTAGGATAACAGGAAGAAATACGATGCCGTGAAACAACCCAATCGTCACCACCAGGAAAAATATCTGTTGATAAAATATAAACATTACTAAACAGAATATTTTCATTTGTGTGGGTAATGCTATACAGGGTGTATATAAAGTCCCGCACAGGCTTAATATTTTCTTAACGACAACAGATACATCAATAAGATTTGATACATCAACACCACACCTAAAAATCTACTTTTTTAAGGAACTATAGGTGTGGTGTTGATGTACCAAATCTTATTGATTTATCTGTTGTCATTTAGAAAATATTAAGCCCGTGCGGGACTTTATATACACCCTATATAGTAAAAATCCTATTATCCAAAGCGATGGGGACTGTACCACATTCGGATGGTACAAAATTTGGATGGTTGAACCTTTACCCAAAATCTAGGCATTTTATAGAAAATAAGCTGAGTAGAAAGGAGAGTTAGAAGTTATACAATTTTTAATATAAGAACATCACCGAACGTTGAAGCGTTGAAAACGACTACAGTCTGTGAAATTTCTAAATTCATAACTTAAAAACTGTTAGAGATAATATTTTTAACTTGGTATAGGTTATTAAGATGGTCAAATAAACAATTTTCACTGACATTTGCTGATTGTTTAAGGATCCATTTTATAATTTTTTTTTAATGTATTACTATAGACTCTCGTATTTGTTTAAATCAAATTAGGGGTTTCCTTTCTAATATTCAATTTATAAAGGTGTTTGTCTTTTTTAATTTCTAGTAGATGTAGGTAATAGCATAGAACAAATTTTAAATACTTTGTATATTGCCTAACAATGGTTTACAAGAACTCTTCCCCCGATCACAGATCAACAGTCTATCCGGGGGAATAATTCCATGTAATATATTGTTCTATTATTGTACTGTTTAATTTTTGGAATAAAAGTATTTTGATTTGATTTGATCTGCCCAACCTGTAAAAATGGCTTAAAAGAGCAAACAAATTTTTATTAGACTTTTAGACCATCGGATGCCTGAATAGCGGGCTTTTAATGTACTACATTTTCAAGGCATAGGAAACTTCATTGTCAAATCTCTGTCATATACTCTATTGAAGCCGTATCAGCCTGCCCGTGGCATCCTTCATTTCATTTTTTGGGACAAACCTGACTAGCTTCTTCCTTATTCTACCCCATTTTACAACTAAAAATCGTAATATTTCTGCTATTTCTTATTCAATCTTATTCTCCCCATGTTTTTTGAACACCCTATATACAGGGTGATTGATATAAAGTGTGCGAGCTGTTTTATTCAAAAGTTATAAGATATATCAAAAAATGTTAAATTGTAACTGCCTTGGATTTTTTCTTTAAAAAATTTAAGTGAAGTTGAAAAAATAATTTTAGCTGCCATTTTTCCAATATGGCCGCCAACTTTGATTTTTCTTAGAAGACCCTATATTTTATGATTTTTTTTTAGAGAGTAAATGCCATTTAAAACGTTTTAACTGTTGGCACTTTTTCTCTAAAGCTACTAATTGAGGAGTTACAGCGTTTTACAACTAAGAAAAAATGACTTGCGGTGTACATTCTACATCATGTAGCTCCTAAACGAGTACGTTTAGAGCAAAAATTCAAAAAGTAAAAAAGTCTTAAAACTGCATCTTGATAAAAAGACTATAACATAAACAGTTTTTCTATTTTCAAATTTCCCTGCCATTTTGGAAAATGGTGGCAATTTTTGAAACAGTGGAATCAATATTTGGTATGTATGTTTTGGTCTTTTAGAATCTAGATGCAATTTACCGTTTTAAAATTGCATTTACTTTCTAAAACAATCAATTTTTTTTAAATGAAAAATCCAAGGCAGTTACAATTGAACATTTTGTTATATCTCTTATAACTTTCGAATAAAATAGCTGGCACACTTGTATCAATCATCCTGTATATATATAAATAATATTTGGGTAAATAAATTAGCCTATATAAAGTGGATATTTATCAACAAATTAAACAGAAATCTGTAGATCAAAGACTCCTTGATATAATGTTTCAAATTTCATGCTTCTATCATTAACCATAACAATAATACAGTAAATCTTTATTGTCATTCAGTAAAACATAAATTACAATAAACAAGGTTTGTTACATGACATGTTTTGTTACATTTGTTATATACAGTATTAAATACAGAAAATGTAAAATAAAATAAAATGAATCCTAAAAGGATATAACATCAGTAATTAATAATAATGAAAAATTTAAATTAACAGGAAAAAACCATACAGTACCATAAAAACGTTATGGCATATTAACTAAACCACTACAATTTACAGAAAATTAATTGCTGCCGCTGGCTCTGACGGGCGGAATTAAAGTGATTCCTAAATGGGTTAAACATTGTAGATATAGCTAAGTATACTTAGAACAAACCTTAAAGAACGCCTGGAATATGTAGGCATCAGATAGAGAGAGCATGGATAGTGCAAGGAGCGTGGACAGTCCACCGTTGAGTACTGCTGCACCAATGGTGTTGACTGAGTGTAGCGCTCGTTGGTGACGAGAACCTTGAGCGTAAAGGAACGTCTGTCCTACGTGAGCTGCGTAATCAATACACAGTCCCACACCCAACACTAGGGCTATACAAGACACTATGTCCACAGTTAGGCCCCAGTAGAACATCATTCCACAAATGTCTACCTGAAAACATGAACAACACTGAGAACACTGATGTGTGTTATTACCTGTTTGTCTTGTTACTTAAAGTTACATTGCCTCCAAAGCTGTACCTGACTGCTAAAAATAAGGTACAGACTGGTAAAAATATACAGATTAGATTACTGACCTATGTCTTAGCATTAGCCCAGGACAACTACAGTTTCAGAACTCTTAGCTTCCATCTTTGACTACTGATAGAATACAGATCAGACAAACAACATGGGGGGGGGGGGGTTATAACATGGGCTAGACTTTCCATCCTCATGTTAAAACTGTCACCAGATTTTTTATCAAAATGGGCCTAGTTGAAATGAGCCACAAATGTAAGCGTTGATGTGAATTATTGAATTCTGTTGAATACTCCAGCTTTTTAACCAAGGCACAGATAAACGGACTTATTGCAAGCTTTGACAACACTTCAACTATCTCAGTAATAAAAAATAAAGTAGAAAATAGAAATGTAGTCCATAATGGCATGCAGGCAGATGGTAGGTGGAAAATGGGAGTTACAGCCTAGACTCTTGCATCGGCTGTATGTATCTATTGTCCGGACCCGCCTTGACATACGGTTCGCTTGTTTGGCGGCCTAAGATGGAATCTACTGCAGCTGTCAGAGCTTTAGCAGGAGTTCAGAGGCTTGCTCTTTTAATGATAACTGGGGCAGTAAGTAGCTGTCCTGGAGCAGCTCTAGATTATCTGCTTGATATGCTAACCATCGACATTTTTATCAAGGTGGGTAGCAAGAAAAACAGCCCTACGCCTGAGATGAGAAAAATTATGGACAACCGCAGGTAACAATAAAGGGCTCTCCAAAATTGTTCAGGTGGTACATAGTGATGAGTTGGACCTGCCTTCAGATCACATGTCCAAAAAACACTCCTTTGGAATGCCTTTCAAAGTACTAATACCAGATAGGAAGGATTGGTCTGGCGGAAAAGACCAGTGAAAGTATAAAGTGATATGAAGATAGATATAAAGTGATTTAGAATGCTATACTGATGGTTCTAAGATCAAAAAATTGGGGCTCTGGAGCAGGTGTGCATTGGATAAATGAAGGCACTGGCATTTGTCTTCCCATGGGGGTGTACCCAACTGTTTTTCAAGCGGAGGTCACTGCCATCTTGGTTTGTGCTCAAGAACATCTTAACAAAGAGATTAGAGACAAAACAATTAATATCTATACTGATAGTGAAGCCACCTTAAAAGCACTAAACTCTTACGAATTCAACTCAAGGATCGAGTGGGATTGCCTTGCTTCTGTGTCTGAGTTAGGTAGGAGGAATGATCTCACGCTCTGATGGGTGCCTGGACACTCAAGCATTAAAGGAAATGAAGCCGCAGATAGACTGGCAACTCTGGGACAACAAAGATTGGCCCACAACCCTTCTGTGGCATTTAAAAAAAAAGCGCATGATCTTTGATTGCGTCATGGGTCAGACAAGTGCACCGCAAACGCTGGGTCGATACTCTCCTTCTTTGGGTCAGTAAGGTTACTCTGTTTAGGCCTTCAAAAAAGGTTGCCTCTGACCTCTTGAGACTAGACAGGCAAAGAATTAAATTAATTGCAGAACTGATAACTGGTCACGGGCGATTCAGGAAACATTTACAACAGATGAGCTTATTTGATGGTGAACCGATCTGTAGGCACTGTCATAGGTCAGAGGAGATATCCGATATACCTGCTCTCTGATTGTGACAAGCTCTCTAATGCTAAAAGGATAACTCTTGGCAATGTGGCAAGAGGCAGATATCTTCCTGAGGAGGAACTAATTGGGAAGCTACAGGCTTTCATCGGACGCCTGAACTTGTAAGGACATCAAGAAAACAATTGTCTGGGTTGCGCAATAATTCGATTTTTGGATGAAGTGCTTCATGGTCTCGGCCTGCCCCTGTTAGGTAAGATAAGATAAAATAAGATAACAAATTTATACACTAGCAAACAGTGTGACTGACTTAACTAACCCTCATTCTATTTTAACAGAAGACTAGTAACAGCTGGTCCTTAAAGATAGGATCTTCAGTATCCATAAGTCAACGCTTCCACCATTGAGGCCAGTGCACACAGAGACAGACGGATAGGGGTCTCAATCCCGGTTAGTTTTTGATACCTAGAAATCCCGCGATTTGCGTCTTTCAATCCCGGGATTAACGGGATTGCTACAAGTTACACCCCCATAAACCATATACTTAAAATATTTGCCATGATGACAAGTAACCTTAGTGCGCAAAACTATCCATCACGAATACTAGAAAAATACCGGTATGGATCATAAACATAATCAAATGACGTTTTTGGCCCGAAAGTAAACAAAAGCCCTATACTAATATAGCATTAATTAACATATGGTTTTGTTTACTTTCGGGCCAAAACATCATTTGTTTATGTTTACGATCCATACCGGGTCTTTTCTAGTATTCGTGCTATCCATTATTTCATAAATTGCCCTTTAATGTCATAATTCCTTTCTAAAGAGAACTTTTTTTTCAAGATTCAAGATCTTTATTTGTCATTAAGTAATACAAGTATTACAATAGACAACATTTTTTTTATATATAATACATACAGTTAATTTCCTGTTAGAGTTTTGTTAGAGTTAGTTTTTTCCATGTATCTAATGTTAAAAATACCTCAGCTGTACTTATTTGTTTGTTATTTTTTCAATTTATAACCTCATTAAAATCAGGTGTGATTATTTGTTTGCATTACTGTATTCTGTTTTGTTTATTTCAGCCTAACTTAACCAATCAATAGTTTTATTAATTTGTTAAGACTATACTTATAAAGTCAAACGGGGTGAAGCCAGTGGGGCCTTGGTGAAGCCCGTGGGTAACAGCTAATATGGTATAAGTGAGTCGGTGGCTCAGTCGGTAGCGTCGCGGACTTCGGGCCCAAGGCAGCGATGTCGTGGGTTCGGATCCTGGTCACTGCCGATAACATTTTATCAGTACAGTTCACCTTTGTACTGTACCGGCTCACTCCTTGCTTTGCTGTTAACGATCCACGCACGGGCGCTTAGTCTATGTGGACGGGCAAATGCAAGGTTAAAAGAGGCCGCCAACCTCTTTTTTTTAAAAAAAAAAATAAAAAAAATAAAAAATAAAAAAAGTTGTGATCTATTTAAATTTGACAATTTAATCATCATTAAACTCAATAGGCGAACATAGTGTAAATTTATGTTTCAAGTGTATTAGAAGTATTTAGATTTACCTACTGTAAATATAATTAGGCCTACATACAGTACCGGTATAGGTTATTCTGAGTTTCACTTTTGACATGAAACACAAACAACGCAATTGATGTGATGTGGCAAACATATAACATGGCAATCGGTAATTGAAGTATTATTTTCTTAATAACATTGACGGCCTAAGAATATAAACACACCATTATTATTTTATTTGTGTTATTTATGATTACTTATGTTTAGGGGCCATAACTTTATCTTCGTATTTGGTTTTAAGTGCAATTAATTTTTTTATAATCTTAAATTACGTTTTTCGTACACACGTTAGTACATAAGCAGATGGTCTGTTGTTTGTTTGTACCTTAAATTGTTTTATTCTATTAACATTAAAGCTGCTGTTGCAGTTTTCATGTGGATCTCATAGTGCTGAAGACCTTTTCCACAAACTAAAAAGAGGGTTTAGTTTTTTAAATCAACTAGTAGCCTATTCAATTTAAACTTACCAAAGTCAAGAGAACACAAATAAAGATCCAAAAGCAGGCAGAGATGTTTAGAATCAGGAGAGTTGTTGTTGCCATTACACAGATTACGGAGAGAGTCAAGTTTCTATACAGTTCATGTTGTATAACCTGAAAATCAATAAAAACCTTAGGTTATGTTCAAAGTTTTTTTCATTAATTATTATCACTATGTTTACCTTACGAAGTCATAATTATAAGTGATAGGCGAATATTGGGTCTGATGATGATTGGAGTGTCCAATCAAACCACTTACCATCTTTTTTGTATATTTACTGTCTTGTGAGTAACAGTATAAGCGTAAATATATGTTTTAAATGTTATAAGACGTTTCTTTTATTTACTTTCTGTAAGTTTAATAACACGTACAATGTTGATCAAGAAGTTATCAACAAGATGCCAGTAGGTTTTGGTGTCTGCAACTAAACATTGCCATGACGTCAGAAGGAAAGATGGCGTCTGCTGAGATGCACATAATGTGCCCATTTATTGTGTGTATGGGTTATGTGCAATAACCCATTTGTTTAGTCGTTCAGCAAATTATAAATTACAATAGGCATCGTCACAAGAAATACAATATGCTATATGCATCGAATAAACCAATATGTACAATAACAATGTGAAAAAGTAAAAACTAAAAACACATGGCATGTAGGCCTACATTGAATACATTAGTCCACTCGACAGCCGAAATCTTTACACAACACCTCCAGGTCAGCAGACGACTGATGTCAAACGCTGGGGCTTGTTACTTTGAGCTTATGTTTTTTATATTGATCTCGTTATCATAAAGCCACGTTTACACAGGAGTTAGGAAAACGTGTTTACAACTAATGTTCCTTAAAAAGCAAGAAACACTATTTTTGAACAGAAACATTTAAAAGTTAGAAACAGTGATAGCCTTTTTTTTGGATTACATATCTTCTTTAAATTTTGTTATTATATTTCACTTTGTGTTATGTTCCATAACTTCCATTTACAACAGAAATTTTTTTAAGGTCTAATCAGTAGAACCTTGATGATGAAGCAAAAATGGTTACATAACCTCACCATCCCACGTAAAATAATTACCAAGTAAATTTTGAAATTGTACTTAGCTGGTAACCTAGTTTGTTAAAAATGGATTGTATGTTTAACTATTTCAATCTATAATTGATATGCAGAAGGGTCCCACATTATTGTTTTCAAAACATCACATTTCATTTGAGGAAATTAAAATTGAAGCATCCCAAGGTCATCACACTTGCGCGCAACCATGGCAACTTGTTGAATGCTTGACTGTAGGGAAACCCCAGAAAGAATGGAAGAACAAAGAAAAAAAATAATAACGTTATTATCTTTATACCCTTTTTTAGGAGTGATCTTATTATATATACTTTTATAATGTTTTATAACAATGTTTTATAGTTTTACAAGATAATTGTTTTCAACTACAGGAAGATCAATTTATAATTTAAGTCATGCGTAAATAAAGGTGAATGGGCTAAAAAAAAAATTATGCGCAATATTGTATTTTGATGTAAAATTGCAAATTATAACATTAATTTGAATTCTAATATTTCATCAAGCCCCTAGCATTTCATACACTATCAATGTTAAAAAAACAGGGTTTATTCAAATTATATTTTTATGATTCAAGATTTATACGAGGAAATAGACAATCAAAAGTAAAAATTGGCAAAGATTTTGGGATTTCCCCCCCCCCCAAAAAAAAACCACCGCATCACTATTCTGTGATTGGAATCCCCCTCGCCAGCCCTTTAGGGAAGTGGTGCAAGTCTAAAGACAGTGACACACTATCGATCTTTTCCCCGAACAAGAATTCGATTTTCGAATTCGATTTCGAATTCGATTTCTTGTCACGAGAGCCGAAGCCCCCTGACTACTTACCCGGTACCTATCCTTGAGGACATACCCGGACCCCATGATGTAGGCCGAAGCTTACGCATCAACCTTTAGCACATCATAGGCGGATGACTTAAGGTCATCAGGCTCACCGGCTGCCGAAGCAGTCCCTTCGGAAAGAGGGTTGCCCCTCAATCCTAACCAGGGATACCGGCTACTTGTTTAAGCGTCACTCCATCTGGCTTCCACTAGGTACAAGCCCTAGAGGACCATAATGGAGCGCCCCGACGCATTTAGTGCAAGCAACACTCGGGACCTATCTAATCCCTGACAGGCAGAACCCGCCATCATAGCCGGAAGGAAGGGGACCCCAACCTCCCATTTACACCACTACCCGATCGAGGCCTTACCCAGTTGCTGGGAAACCAGAGATAACCAGAGCGATAGATCCCCGGATACCCCTGGCGGGCTCGGACCCAGCACCCGATCTACTTCGTTTGCCCGTCAGACCCAACATCACTACCAGGCCATCAGGGTTTCCCAAAAGGAGGCAGGTATAGAAGTGGGACCCACCCGGATGAACCTATCCACCAAAGGTGGCGACACCCTTGACTCAATTGAGGTTCCGGGAAGAACCCCCCACACTCAAGATAACCATACCGTCCGTGATCAGAGACAGGGATTGGTTTGCATAAGTGCCTACAAACCGTTGCCCTCACACTGCGGAAAGTTACGTTTCCCTTGAGTGTCCCCATGAGCTACGGGTACTTGCCCGTTTTCACCTCCAGGAAAGGCTACTTCCAAAGTCGAGGATTTGCCACACAGAATGCTGGTCGCACACAACAAGCAAGCCGAAACCCAAAGAACCACAGACACAGGTAGGTTAGAGATTATGATGCACTTCCATCTCTCCTAGAGCTAAACACCCCCCCAATCCTGGATGAGGGAATGTCACTGGGACCCAATGCCCAGTCGTCCATGTCTGTGGCCTACTTGAAATGCCGATTCCAACACCAGACAGTTACCTCCCCTCTGGGGGCTAGCTAGGGTCCGCGTGGTCGCTAGGCCACGTACCCACGCAAGCGTGGGCCCCCTGCGGGTTCCCCGAACAAGACCCTGAACCGAGCAGGGAGAAGGGCCGTCGAAGGGAGCATGTTCGATAGTGTTTCAGGTGTCCGTACACCGATCCAGGCAATAGGCCGAGCAGGGAGACGAGTGCTTTGGAGACGGTTTTTGACGAAAGATCAAAGAAAAGATCGGTCCGATATACGGAGTGATGTACGATAGTGTGTCACGGTATATTTTTGCCCCGTACGCCGTCTTGAGGGCCACACCAAGTGGCTGCCTGCGCTAGCGTTGATTGTTTTAATTTAATATGGCAATTAAACTCTTTAATTGGTAAAATAAATAAATGTTGGGTAATATTTTGCCGTTATGTATATTATGGGCATTTATGTTGTAATTTTGTGGTTTGTTTGGTCAAGGTTGAAAATGTATTTTACAAGTTGAAAAAGTTAAATCAATGATAGCAATAATGTTAAACTTGAATTAAGTAATTGATGTTATACTTAAACTCTTTCAAAATTAATATAAACATAATTATTATTAAAGGCAATTAAAATTATCATTCCGTCATGTTATTTCAAGCTTTATTACTGTTTTATTATTACTGCGCTCTTATTCACACACGCTCTCCATCACTCTCTAAACTCCCTTTTGCCGCGCTCGGTAGAACTTTTTGATCTTGGTCTTGTTCGGGGAAATGTTCGGATTGAAATTTTGCTTAATATTTATCTCCCTTCTCCCTTCTGCCTGCTCAGTTCGGGGTCTTGATTGGGGAAAATATCAATAGTGTGTCACCGGCTTAAATATAGCTTCAAGGTTAAACACACCCCTTCTCTACGCCATACTCAACTCACTGTGGTCTAAGCTCCTTTCGAGGTCATAGCCCAAACCCTCCACTCCCACCCTTCTATAGTTTTGACTTTCTAGTGTTTCTATTCTGCCTTTGAAACATTAACCCTCTAAGTGCTCCGAGACGCACCATTGTTGTAGCTTGAGTGCCGAGCGTCTCGTAACGAGATGGTTGGAATGCACGAGAAATGCAAGCGTCTCGTAGCGAGACGCTCAGAAAATCACTTCATACAGTATCACATTTCAATAAAGCTGGCTACAAATCACACCAAATGTGACAGAAGGGGGTTGGCAACAAGTATTTTGCTCTTTTAAAATTGATCCGAGAAATGTGGTCACCTAATCAAAAACCATTATGTCATAATAGAAGACGGCTTTACACAGCTGGTTCGTGTGTTGAGGTTTCGACTGTTAACGTTCTAGTAAATGTTTGTATACTAGTTGCTTTTGTAATAGAATTGCAGGTTATGATCATGAATCGTTGAAAAATACATTTTAAACCTTAAAAAGTGATAATACCACAACTTATTGGTGTGTTCTACTGATAGTTTTTGGCTTATCACATAAAGTGTACCGGTAACTGGACTAACTTAGGCCAATAGGTGCATGATTTTTATTTGACAGTTTGTATATTTTGTGCATGGCTTCTAACAGTATTCCAATAATATTTCTGATTATAAACATAATAATAACAAAATTAAATTAAATTTATCACACTACAGTTAAATGTAAAATGATATAGTTTTGTCTGTGACAACACAAGTCTTAGAGCACTTTTGTTTCACCCGCTCGAGGCACTCAAAGGGTTAAACTTATAAGTAGAAAAAAGTTTGGAAGAATGTGGATAAAAATTGTTAACAAAGCTCAAAGTAGTAGTAGTTACTATTTTAAAATGAGAAATAAACAAGATACCTCATCTGTTGTCCATGTGGCAAAGGCTTTGGACCAAACTGTCTTGAACCCATCTCCAGACGATATGTTGCTGTTGCGAACCATATCCTTTATTCGGTTCATGGCAGGAATGGCTTCCTCAGGGCCACTGAACAAGCGAAACTTGAAGTCTAGGGTGGAAATCTACAGTATCAAAAGTAAAGATTAATCACACAAGAAACCAATTGACTTCAAATTTATCTCCCACATTGAGTGATCACCCAATATTTTATGTCAATACAATGTTCATATAAAATGTAAATACAGGGTGCGATAAAAAAACAATACTATTTTCTGCAGCGCACTAGGTTCAGCGACAGGTTGTCTAAGAGTGGTGGGGTTAGGCTTGTTGGAAAGCCTACACACTGCCATAATCATATAGTCATAGAGCACTGGTTGCCATCGAGTTGTATTTAAAAAAAGTAATGATTCAGTCATTGCAGCTCAGCGGCAGCTTCTGCGTTAAAAAAAAGCTGACAGGCCATCCAAAGTCAGATCGGACGCCAGACAACCAACATTTTTATAAAGTTCGTGCTGCTGTGAAAAACAGTCCTAGTAGGCCTGCCCGAAAACAAGCGGTTGCTTTGACAAACAAGCGGTCTGACAGGTCGATTACACAAATTTTTAGGTCCGATCTTAATTTGAATTGATCTGCCTAATTTTGTTGATTTTCCATACAGATAATTACGACAGAACCTCTCTATGTCGCCCTTATTGAAAGAATGCTTGGAACCACTGTTCTGTGACTACAAAACACCACTGTTCTGATTCACACTACAAATAATGGCAGTGTTTAGGCCTTCCAACGAGCCTACTCCCACCACCCTCAGACTTAAGTCCAAAAAATGAATTGTCCTGCATTCTAGTAAAAATTTAGAGAACTACAACAAAGTTCACTTTACATAGAACAAAATATCTCACAAATTTTGTGGTCTTGACAAGAGGTACCTTTTTTGGAGAAATAACATAAGGCTGACAAGAGGACCCTTTCGTGAAATGTGATTTTTACGGCATGCTTTGATAAAACAATTATTTAAATGAAAACTAGTTAAGACAAAAATTGGTATTACCTCCAAAGAGGACATTATAAGCTTTCTTTTGATGATACCAAAATTGTTTCTTAAATACAAAAAAGAACTGTTTTTTGCGTATTTGAAATTTTCTAAATAGTTTTTCTCTAAATGAAACTTTTCTATAACAAAATTTCAAAGTACTATAACTCTAACAAAAAAAATTATAAATGCATGGGACTTGCACCAAGTGATTGAGCGTGTTGAGCCCACACTGGCTGGACGGACGTGTGTGAACCCCGATGTAATTTGGCCGGACCCCCTTATTTTTTTTTACTTTAATGATAAATAATGTTCCAATTGTAGCAAAATAATCTAGACTAGGATTATTACAATCCTACTTTGAAGTAGAAAATATATAATGCATGACAACTCATTCTTGCACAGTAATACTTACAGTGACAGGTGGTGCTTTTTCTCCACACTCCAACTTCCCGGAAAATCTAAAGTTTTTCTGGAATTTTCCTCCTTTTGGACTGAATAAGAATTTACCAATCAGAAGACTAAAATCTTCCTCCGAAAGTTCATTGTTGGGGACATCTAAAAACCAGAAATGAAAGTACAAAGTTGAATATGAAACACTTGTTGAGTAGAGTCTTTGTTATCTAAATATGAATCCTTCACATAAGGTTCTGAATGGCAAAATATGTTGTTTTTATGAGTACAATTTTTTAGAAGGGAAAATGTATCACCTATGGGTAGTTTTTATAGCTAGTTTGTGTCTCTGGTGTCATCTTATGAGTGTTACAAAGTCTGAACAAATTTTTTTTATCTTTTGCTGTCCAAAACCTGTTTTAGCGAATTTCCCTATAGGGAAGTAGCTATTACCGTAGGTCTCATGGTAAGACTTAGGCCCGGGACCGATTTACTTTTTCATTTTGATGTCCCCAGAGGCCAAAAACACCACTCGTTCAAGCTCTATGAGTGCAAGAGCGGCGTCGATTGCCTTCAGCCCGTCGGTGTATGATATTTTGGGAGTTATCTAGTCCAGATCATCATCGTCTTTGTTGTCCTTATCGCCGGTTACCATGTCGATGATTTCCATGTCGGTAATCAACATCTTATCATCTTGATTGCACCAATCGTGAATGTCTTCGCTGTCGATTTGATTTTCAACGGGTAACTCATTGGCTAGTTCGAATAGTTCACTCACATTCTCAGATTCTGGCGCTTTTTTTGGTGGTCCATCTATGCGAAATAAATTCTTCCATGACTTTTGAACGGTGGTAGTTTTAACCTCACCCCATGCTGAGGCTATCCATTACGATACATCTTTTAATGTGGCTTTTTTTAAGGCGTCCTTAAGAGTTATTCCTTCGTCTAACTTTGTAATTAACATCTGGAGAAGCCTTCGCCGGTAGTTCCTCTTCATCGCTTCTAGAACCCCTTGGTCTAGCGGTTGTATAAGCGAGATAACATTAGAGGGTAGAAAGATTGCCCTTATATCACCACTGCACAGTTCTTGGGCATCAGGGTGAGATGGCGCATTGTCCAATAGTAGAAGAGCTTTTCTGGGAAGCTTATTTTTTTCAAAAACGCTTCAGTGACAGGTACAAATTCGTTGAAAACCCACTCACTAAATATCAGGCTGTCCATCCACGCACTCTTTTGGTTGCAATATTTTGTTGGCAGGCAGTCGACTTTTATATTTTTAATGGCTCTAGGATATTTAGCCTTTCCAATAAGTGGTCTTCGCTTTAATGAACCAGAAGCATTAGCTGTAGCCAGTATCGTAACCCTCTCCTTGCTTTTTTAAATCCAGGAGCCGCCCTCTCAGATTTTTCTGCCAAGGTTTTTGATGGCAGCATTCGAAAATTAAGGCCCGTTTCATCCGAATTGAAAATTTGATCAGAAGTCAATCCTTCCTTGAACAGAATTTCTTCAATTTTAGTTTGGAATTCTGTGATTTCAGATGTGTCTACTGATTGTTTCTCCCCACTAATATTAAATTACCTTATTCAATACCTCTTCTTCCATTAGTCCAGCCATCCTTCTCTCGCCGTAAATGTTTCCTCCCTCTCCGTCTTTAAAGTTCTTCTTATGATATTCAAGCACCTCAGCCTGTAGCATTGGCCGACTCACAGGACTGTCCATCCCTCGAAGCTGGGAAAACCACAAAAAAGGGCCTCAGACGTCTGCTCGTAGTTACTCTTCTTTAAAGTCTTTCGACTAGTATTACCACCTCCACTCACACTTTTGTTAACATATTTTTTCGATTTCTTCACGTTTTCGTCTCCAATCACCAACTGTCACTTCCCTAACCCCTTATTAAACAAATAAAAATCGCGGCTCCCTGAAGTTGTCTCGATATTGAGACCTTTATTTATATTTGTTATTTTTTAATGACTGGCTCGGTTAACCCGGTAACCCGGAGGCTGGGTTAACCGAGACTCGGATAACCAGGAGTTTACTGTACCAGTCTTTAAAAAGGTGATAAAACGATACATCCACACAGAGGGTGTGCCTCATGGCTCAATACTTGGTCCACTACTATTCTGGGTGTTTTATTTTTATAAATGAATGAATTAAATATGTTAATTTAATTTCCATTAATACTATACAGAAAACAAAATACATACTTTTGAATAAAAAATATAAACTAAGACTAAGAATATAAAAGAACATTTCTCTATTGATTAATTTTATGAAATCAGCAGACATAGGCAAGTGATGTCTGTGTGTCTGCTGGTAGTAGTAATTAAGTAATTAAGTAATTAAGTAATTAATTGTTGTAAATCACTCTACTCACCTTTCTCAAAGTGGTGATTGACGTAACGTCGGAAGTCTTCATACCAAGTGTTGACATCTTTCACCACATCTTTTTGTTTTCGCAAGTTTTTGACAAGTTTGTGAATATTTTTCAATTCAGATGTATAATTCAGTTGACCAAGCAATATAAATGCTTCCTGGCCAGAGTCTGCATAATACCTGGAAGTGTTTGAGTTAGTATAATGTGTAGATTAGTAGATTATACATAGAATTTAATAATTTATATTTACCACAAAGTTTTTAAGAAATGTACAGATTTCTGGGCAGGTCTCGTTAAAATTATCTTCTTGTGAAATTAATAAAATAATATATACTACCTGGCACTATCTTTTACTCATGCTTTTGCCAGGGTGAGAATTAGAGGTGTGCGGATAGTGAAACTGCCGTTCGGATCAGATTTGGGTCGGATAGTTAAGGCTCGGTTCGGATCGGATTGGATAATTAGAGGTTGGATTCGGATATTTTAGGATTCGGATAGATTGACGTTCACGTACTTAATAAATAAATATTAAGGGTGAAGTTATAATTTTCATTTTTATATACATAAACTACAATATGAATTTACAACAGTCTATTTACAACTATGTACACAACTTTTTATATATACACACACATATATATATATATTGTAAACTTGTTCACTTATGAGGGCTACTAATTAATTAATAAATAATATTTAAAATAACATGAGTACCCTATTTTCTTTTTTTTTATATACTCTGTATAGCTCACAAGACTACATCTGAGCCTTAGTATAAAAAAAGGGTACTCATGTTATTTTATATATTATTTATTAATATATATATATATATTAATAATTGAAAATATACTTATTATATACAGGGTGATCAACTCAAGGAGGCCACCATTGGGATATCGGAAACGGTAAGAATTAGAGAAAACTTTAAATGGGGGACATTCCTTTATTTTTTGTGGAAGTTGAAAATATGATTTTAGTTTTTCAAAATTCAGCCGCCATTTTCCAAAATGGCGGCCAACTTTGAAATTTCTTATAGAACACCCTGTATTTTATCATGTTTTCGGATAAAACATGCAATTTAAAAACTTTTTTATTCTTGACATTTTTTCGATAAACCCACTCGTTTAGGAGTTACAGCCTATGGAAAAATGACTTCCGGTGTACATTTTACATCATGTAGCTCCAAAAAAAGTAGGTTTATAGTGAAAATGCGAAGAGAAAATAAGTCAAATAAGTCTTAAAATTGCATCCACATTCCATTAAGACCATAAAATACACAGTTTTCCACTTTTCAAATTTGCCGCCATTTTGGAAAATGGCCGCCATTTTTAAATAATATAATTAATATTTTTAACGAATTTTATGGACTTTTTGGAATGTGGATGCAATTTTAAGACTTATTCGACTTATTTTCTCTTCACATTTTCGCCATAAACCTACTTTTTTTGGAGCTACATGATGTAAAATGTACACCGGAAGTCATTTTTCCATAGGCTGTAACTCCTGAACGAGTGGGTTTATCGAAAAAATGTCTAGAATAAAAAAGTTTTTAAATTGCATGTTCTATCCGAAAAAATGATAAAATACAGGGTGTTCCATAAGAAATTTCAAAGTTGGCCGCCATTTTGGAAAATGGCGGCTGAATTTTGAAAAACTAAAATCATATTTTTAATTGCCACAAAAAATAAAGGAATGTCCCCCATTTAAAGTTTTCTCTAATTCTTACCGTTTCCGATATCCCAATGGTGGCCTCCTTGAGTTGATCACCCTGTATATATATATATATATATATATATATATATATATATATATTGTGTACATAGTTGTAAATAGACTAATGATATGTGGCAACCCTGCATAGTTGACAACAGCCATGACAGCAGCCATTTTGTAATTTGTAAACTCTTCCTCTACACTTGAAAAAGTCCTTCAGGGGACGATATATTGTGTGCACAGTGTTTTTCTACATGTTCTATGGCCTACCTACACTTTGAAGGTAGGTAGGTGCTATCCTCCCTTTTCTACAATTCAAAATCCTGGCCCAGAGCCTTTCCTTGAACAAAACTATATTTTACATAAAATAACTTAATGGATAAAAATACTCTAATTACCTGTCCCTTGCATCTAAGTACTGAACAAGATAGCTGTTGGACGGGAGGAACCATTTGGGATCAAACTGCTGACGAAGACTAAAAACACCATTCATACAGAAACCGCAGAAACAAAATGTCCCAATGATGATCAAGACCTGAGGTAAAAAAACAAATATATTTATACATTCACCATTGAGTATACAATTAACAAGAATAAGACAGAAAGTGGAAATGGGTTTCTTGCACAACATGAACAATCACATCAAGCTTAATAGCGAAAGAGCTTTGTTGTTATCAGGACACATCGAATGAAGGGATTCATTCTTTGCCCATTGCTGAAGGTTTATTCAAACCAAATTATGTCTAGGTCAAGATTGTTTAGTTAAGGATTAAACACATTTTTCAAAAGTATACTGGAATATACCCTACGATAGCAAAAAGTCTCAATTTAACATTGATTTATGTAGTAAAACTTAGTTTATTTCACAGACCAAAAAAATTTACGCTTTGTTATTTGATACCATCATTTAGACATTTGGCTCCATTATTTTAACTAACAGAATATTAGGAGCTAAAACATAAAAATGTTCAACTTTTTTTATTTATAATATAAATTTCAACCTACTTACTTTGAAAGGTTTTGTAAGTACCATTTTTGAATAAATACAATTCATAATAATCATTGAGTAGTGTTTCACACTGGTGTGAGGCTCAGATGTAGTCTTGTGAGTTATACAGAGTATAAAAGGATTTCGTCTTTTTTCTATCCGATGTTCATCCAAAACAAGAAATGCAACAAAAAATGTTGCCTGGTAGATGAATGTAAAGAAGACTCCTGCTGCCGCATACAAGCAAAAAGACTCTAGGGCTGGCAAAATCTGAAAATAACACAGCACATTAGAGCTCATATTGTATTGCGTAAAAGACAAAAAAAAATATAACTGATCTAGAAGCAACTAACCATCAATCTAGAGGTGTGCAAGCGGTTCAAGAGATCGAGCACAAAGTTGGAAAAGCCAGCTCTAGCCTAGCTTTTATGATCCTGATCATAAAACGTGTCTGTAAAGTTTGCGCCATTGAAAAATTCACGCTTTTGACAAGATCGCAGATGACATCGATAACGTTTCCGTGTTTGCAAGAGACAACGAATATCTCTACAATCCGCGGGAGATACTCAGGATTTCGCCGCGGTCGAGGAAGACATTGATAACGTTTTCGTGACTGCGGGAGACGACAATCACAATAAGAGTGATCGAGAATCTCTTGCCAGTTACAGGCCTGTCTCCATAATGTCTGTAATGGGAAAAGTTTTAAAAGCCATAATACCAGCCCAACTGACACAGTATTTGGAGATGAACAGCTTGGTATCAGATGGGCAGTATGGTTTCGGAAAAGGTGAGATTAAGAGATTTGCTGACTTGGTTGGTGAAGCATTTGAGGTGGGTAACACGATAACTCTTACTACGTTTGACTCGAGTCATGTTTTCATTTGTGTTAACCACAATCTTCTACATGGGAAATTAAGGAGTTTGGGAGTAGACAGCGTGGCGCTGAGGACGGTTGACTCCTATCTAGTTGGAAGGCTTCAGGTTTTCTCCGTGGAGGGTGCAACAGCCAAGCCAAAGAGTGTAAAATACAGTGTTCCTCAAGGATCGATTGTAGGTCCGTTGCTATTCCTGGTAATGATTGATGACCTTGATAGAGATGCTTGATGGTGGTGGTGCTTTTTGCCGACGACAAAACCCTGGTGTCACAGGGACCCCAAGTTGAGCTGTCCACCGCAGATGCCAACCAACATCATATTTTGAAATGGACATATAAATACAATTTTAAAAACTAAAATTAATGGTGGAGATTGCTGTTGGTGGATTCCTTTAAAATTATTTTGATTTGTAATTTGCTCTTGGGACTTAAAGTGTTCACCATTTTATTAATAGTTTGTGGTGCAGTTTGTCCAGTGACTACCACAGTTAGTCCCCTGTATTACAGGATCTTGCAGATTAAGGTTGGCTTAAAGTGTGATCTAAGTTGCCAGTGCAAGTACAGAAGTTTAGTTTTCCCTTTTTCAGTTTCAGTAGAAGTTAATTTTCTTTTGAATGTTCATTTTTGTTTCTCTGGCAACTTCAGATATTTTTATCATATCTCAGACTCTGTGGGACCTAGGTTAGGTTTGTCTAACCTTTTCAGGATCCCATGTGTAACCCTGAAGGTAAGAAGGGTGGTCCTACTTTTAGCGAATTTCCCATATAGGGAGTAAGCTATTACCGTAGTACTCATGGTAAGACCTCAACCCAAGACCGATTTACTTTTTCTTTTTGAGGTCCCTAGAGGCCAAAAACACCAACTGTTCAAATATATATATATATATATATATGTGTGTGTGTGTATCCGTTAGCATGATAACTCAAGCAAAAATGATCAGATTTTGATGAAATTTGGTATAAACGTGTAAACCTACATTTATTCAAACAAACAAGTTCGCGAACCAGCATGATCCGACCAAGAGAACAGGGTTTTTTGCGGTTTTGTTGGGTTAAAAATTTGTTTTCCTCATTTTTGACCCTAAAACCATAAAATTTAACAATTTCTTTCCAAACCTTTTTGTAGAGCTTAAAAAAATAAAATAATTTAGTATATTGAAGCGTTATTATGCGCCTAATGGTAACGGAGAAAATTCCAAAAAAATTTAAATTTAAAATGCCCATGTTATTCTTATTGTTTGCTTGATAATGCACACTATTTAAATAAGGATATTTTTAAAGATACATTTTAGTGTAGATCCATTTAGGCAAATGGAAATTCGCTTAGTCTGCAGGTTTGGGTATTTATTTTTTAGTAGTGAACCCCACAGAACCAAAACTAAACTATAGGCCCCCACCAAACCCATTGACTAGGGCGGTGAAGATATGTAGTGTCTAGTGACACTGTATTTTATCCTGGGCTCTGTTTAACTAAGACTACTAGTTCTTAAGACTATCCAAATCAATATTGACCTCTGAAGTATCCTAGCAACCAGACTCAAATGATTCTTGGGACTCCATTGATCGTTTAGGTGGCTTAATTTTTTGTGCTATTCTACATATTTTCTCCGGCAGGAAGTTTGTGTCACATAATAAGTATCTATCAAGTTTCACTATGTTAAACATTAGGGCATTTTTCATTCAGCAGACTATGCAACAAGCAATTTCCCTGATGAAGTAAGTACTTTAGCATAGTCCCAATCTATTGTTGAGATGATGTAATGATATGGGGTTTGTCCGTGAGAGGAGCAAGAGAGAGTTACATCTTTAATTACTGCCAAGCCTAGACTGCATCACAGTTGGCTTTCCTAGGTAAGGACTGAATCAGAGGGAATCAAGAGAGTTCCTCAGGACTGATTGTTCTTGTAAACCTTATGTCACCTGATAAACCTAATTGTAATATAAAATATTTAATAAGCTTACTGTTGTTCCACCTATAGTGGAAGCCACAATGTCAGTGAATGAAGTAACAGTGATCGAAACTCCAGCATGTCTCAAAGCCAGACCTATCTGTACTGGAAGACTGTTCCTGGAATGAGATGCAAATATTTAGCACAAGTCTTTTTACAGAATCAATCATAAATATGTCAGTGATCACTTTGTGAAATTCAAAAATTCACATAAACGATGCCTAAAAATCAAATTAAGCATGACAACCACATGACTATTCAAAAGAACTCACTTTTCATCTTACAATTCACATCAACTGGCATACATATACCATTCATAAACTTGTACACACATGGGAACAAGTCATATATATCACTTCATGAATATATTTATATTTCTTCTTAAGCGCAGCTTTCAAATAAGATTTGAACCACCATCTTCTTTTCTTGCAAGAATTTTAGCACAAATTTTCATTTTTGAGTTTACTAGCCATCATGAAACTAATGAGTGAATAAAACTAATTAGATTAGGGGTTTTAGAGCTTTACTCAATTTTTATTATCAAAGGAACTTAAAAATCACAGGATATATGTGAACCACTCATAACATCATATACAGTGACAATTTATCAAAAGTGTGTCTTTACTACTGAACTTGCCTTTTCTGTTTGTCAGTGAGATGGTTTCTACAAGCCATTATGACAAACATATCATCCACTCCTATTCCCATCAGCAGGAATGGAAGTGACGTGTGGACAGGGCCGTAAAAGATACCAAGTGCCGAACACAGACCACACGCAGACAGAAATGCTAAGCCCACACAAGCCATACCTGCTGCGGCTGGGATAACCTAAACAGACAAACATTACATTATCCATAAGATAAGCCTAAATTATCCTAAAGGGTTTACAGGAAAGAAAGTGACGTGGAGGTAAGATCGTAGAGTATATTTAGTATGCATCAGAATACAATACATCTCAAAATAATCAAAATTTACAGTTACGGTTAACTTGTTTAAGATAAAGCTTATTGTTTTTTTCAAAGAGGCTAAGTTATATTAACATTTAATTTGATTTTAAATAACTTTATATGAAAATAAACAAATATATGCCTAGTCAAATCTCCATTATCCTACCTAAACGGGCAGCGGCAAACTCGAAAAAGCAGGAAGGTCAAATGACATGGAATGTCAGCAAGTTTATAATCATCAAACCAGTTTTTTGGCTGTAGTAGCTATTTAAGGGTTTAAGTTTTTTTAAATTGAAATCACTAAAGTTTTAAGCGTTTAAAGTTTAAGTTTTTAGTGAGTTCACTAAGGTTTTAAGTTTAAGTGATTATCACTAAAGTTTTAAACTTGTGAACTGAACTGAGTTTGAGATTCGAGTTGCACATTCATTCAGCACTATTTATGTTGCTTCTGTATTTCCATAGTTCATACAAAGCAAAGTCAAATAAATAACTGTTTGAATTAAATAAAATAATCTTCTAGCTTGTAACTATTATTATAATTATTAATAATCAACCTCATATAAAGAAAGGATGGTTTTAAGGTAGTGAATTTTGTTAAGTCCAAATAAATCATATTTGATCCAGTCTTCTGCTTGAAGATGGTGGAGCAATTATTGGTGTCTATGTTTGCACCACTCTATCAGCTGACGATAATTACACAACTTAACCTACTAACACAGAAATTATCATCTTATAGCCTACTACTACTATTGATAATATTTCATGATAAATATGCCCTTTTAAATAGCCTAAGTGAAAAATAATCATCATGGTTGACAACTTGAATTTTAAACCAGTGGAACTGACATTTGACATTAAATACCAACCCATCACTAGAATATACTTAAAAGAGTATGAGAAGGATGAGTACTAAACTGATCAAAATTGTATTTCTGATTATTTTATTTAAAAAAAACCAATATATAATTTCCACTCTAGTAAATCTACTGAAACTTACACTGCCCCAGTGATATTGAAGATTTTGTAATTTAATATAACATATAACATAATCCTACAAATAAACTGCTTGGTTTGAATGATTAATCAAATTCATAATTGGTTTTATTGCTGTTTAAGCATTAAAATTAGAGCATTTAATAAAATTAATATTGCAAAATTAATTAAAAAAATATTATTGAAATATACTTACCCTTGCTTCCAAACATGACACTTTTGACAGCACAAAAAGGACAAAAAAGAAGGTGAGAAACACTCCACAAGCTATCTTGAGTATATCTTGGAACATAGCTGCACTGCTTATATCGCCAAAACTGAAAAAAGGTTCTTTCTTGGATTTCAAATTATCTGTAATGGAAAGATTTTGAGAAAAAGTTAGAATATTGCCTCAACTATTAAGTGAATTTTTGTGCCATCAAAGGTTACTAATGACAATGACTTAAAGAACAAGAAACTAGCTAAAATATATAAAGTGGGTGTATTGTCCCAATTTGTATTGACAAATGAGTAATTAATTAACAGATAATTAATTACTCTTTGTAGTGATTTTTTTCATTAAGTAATCTGAAACACGCTCACAACAGTTATTTGTGTTACTAGTGTGCGGAAAGGCACTTTGCGCTCGCATTACACATTGTATTTTTCCTACAGTTACCGTACTATAAAGCATATAAATAATTAGTCTGTCAGACACAAAACAACACATTTTAAGTTAGGTTAAATCCAAGCGTTAAACGAAAATAGAATTATGTTAACATGAAACAACAGGTTAACACGTTCGCTGCTTTGTATATTTTCGTGCATTATTCTAATGGTGCGATACGAGACCCCGAGGTAGGTTAATTTTTAATCTGGTGTTATATGGTACTAATAATTGTTCTGTTGAGGTGGATGATAGTTGGATCTGTTTTGCATAAATTATGGTTTCATAAAATGTAAATACTATAAAGTGTTAATGTATTTGTAATCCACAAGAGATGCTCTTGACTGGCTATTTCTTTTTAAGATTATTCATCACCCTAATAGCTTTTTTCTTCTTAATGAGTACTTTATCTAAATTAGTTTTTGTTGTTGCTCCATATACAGTAGACTCCCTATTATCCGGACACCTTTTAACCGGACAATTTTTATCAGCACATTGGTTTAACCGGACAAGATCGGCAGGAAGTGTGCAGTACTGAAACGACTGTTCTCGTGGGAAAGATTTGAGACCAGTGATCACGTGTCTAAATACAATGCTCTCCTCAATTTAAGTCCACACACACACAGTAAACAGTCCGTTTTAACGAGTTTTCGGGGACGTCGATTTAACTGGAAAAACCGTTATCCAGACTGGCCTCGGTCCCGAGGAGTCTGGTTAAGAGGGAGTCTACTGTAGAACAATTCCATATGAAATATGCAAATGTATTGAGAAATAAACAACTCTCAGAGTGTCTGAACAGCGTATTCTGGATATATGTTGCAGAGCATGGATACTGGTCACCGGAAGATACCTTTTTAGTCACATAATTTACATGGCCCTCCCAAGATAGATATTTATCAATAATTAGTCAAAGAAATTTTGTTTGCTCTACTTGTCTTATTCTTTCTGATTTCACACAAATGTTTGGTTCAAAATTTTGTCTACGTTGTTTAGTGGAAAATTATAGAACATTTGATTTTACAGTATTAATAAGATTATTTTGGTCAAGGAATTCTTTAGTGGATAAGATTATTTTGGTCAAGGAATTCTTTAGTGGATAAAAGACTCTCCTGAGAAAACGTTTCAATCTGTTGTTGTGATTTTCCCGGAATGGTTTGCTAATGAATAATTTAAAAAAATGTATAATGCATTTTAAAGTAAGACATTTTTCAAATTCTGACTTTTTATCTGACAAAATATTAAACTTGGCGTTGGCAGATATTCATAAAGTTTTAGGCATTCATGTTGGCTGAAAATTAAAAAAGGACGAGCATATTCAATTTTTAACAAAAAAGCTTAGCGCTTTTCGTTTTGCATTAAGTGTAGTTAATGATACAACATCTACTGATATTTGTAAACTAGTATAATAGCTATTCGCGATGGCGGTGGATAGGGTGGAGAAGTCAGTTTCTTGTGCGGAATGCAATAAACGAAGATGATTCAGCGCTCGGATGTGAGGGACTTTGTGAAAATTGGTTCCATATTAAGTACTTAAGCTTTTCCAAGAAGAATTATGATAAACTTGTAACTTTGGGTGATGATTCAATGTGGTGCTGCTCACCCTGCAGAAGTGAGGTTAAGTCCATGCTAAAATCACGCCATGAGCAACGAAGTATTGGAAATACCTGACGTAAGTGAGAACTCCAACCAAACCGATTAAAACACGATACTTAAAAAGATAAAATTCTTAAAAGCAAATTTATGCAACTTGAACGTAATTTGTTAAATGTGTTAAGGGCAAGGAATGGCTATGCGGAAAATGACGTCTTCCCATCATCTGCTGTATGTACAATTCCTATTCCTATAGAAAAAAAACAATGTCGTAATCTGTTGTTAACAGACAAGGAAAGTGGATTTGGGAAACAGGAACAATCAAAAGGTACATAAACCAGGAATTGCTTTACGCGGCAAATTTGAGCTTGCCTTACCTTTAAAAACAAACACAAAAAAAAGGCCGGAAACGAAACTGTAGAAACAGCGGAACGGGTGAAAACGGTAATTGAAGTGGAGTTGGTAATTGAAGTGGAGTCAAATGATGGGAATGAACCCGGAAATATTGCAACACATTGTGAGTAGTGGAAGTATTGGAAAAATTGATTTTGCAAGTAAATCAGATCACAACACCATCAAAGGAGTGGAGAAGTGGAGTTCAGAAGTGGGGCGAAAGAAAACTAAGCCTAACTCCATGTCAGGGAAACATTCTGAACGGGATATAGGCCAACGAATCTTTGTTGGTTCAGCAAACCCTAGTGAGGGAGTGTCTGAGGTAACCGTTGTGGAGAAGCACTCTTGGATATTTGTCTCACGTTTGTCAATGAATTTAACACACAACAGTATAGTAGAATATATTAAAGGCATTTGTGGGAATATTCCTGTCTCAGGTGAGGAATTAAAAACTTAATTCCCGGGCTACAAATCATTCAAAGTCAAGGTACCTTGGCACTGCAAGGACAAGATCCTGAGTGCTGAGGCGTGGCTTAGAGGTGTGCTGGTCAGCAAATTTTTATTCCTAAGAAGAAAGTCTGGTGACTAACCCTCCCATACCAGCCAAGGAGGAACTGGCTCCTGGTGGAGGCCTACATTACATGGTGTGGAAGACCCTAAATCGAATTAGGGTCGAGGTACCAAAATGCAAGACAAACATGCAGAAATGGGGTCTCTTACCAGACGAAGAAAACATCTTGTGCGCGTGTGGTGCTGTTCAGAATCCTGCCCATCTGCCCACGCCTAGACCAGTCTTGCACATAGATGATCTTTTACATGCGAATGACAAAGCCATATCGGTAGCTAATTTTTGGAAAAGCGAAGTCTGATTTCCGGACTCGGAAAGTAAGTAAGTCTGGTATTTTTTAGGAGAAGCCTCAAGAACGTAAGAAGTAAGGTAGGCCTAGGCCTAGGCCCTGCTCTTGACCAACCCCCTGTACATAATTTCAGTGTCTCTTATTTGAACGTACAATGCCTTTGGACCAAATGGGATCTGTTGTTGTTATTTGATGAACTGAAGCATTGATGCTTTCTTGAAACAGCTCAACCAGTGTCTGGATTTTGTCACTAAAGTGAACAAACCTACCATCATTGGAGGGGACTTAAACGTACACCTAAACTCCAGATCATCTGAAGAATTTAAACTATTTTGTTATTGAAATGAGGAATGTTACCTTCTGCTGGCCTCATAAAAGACTTCAGTGCCATTTTCTGTGTTCATTGATGAAACGTTCTCCATTGTGTCTAGAAAACTTTGCTCCCAAATCATTCCTTGTCCTGTAGCCTGTATAAAACCAACAAGTAATAACATTTATTTCTATTAATACACTTATTGTTGCAGAATAAGGCAAAACTAGTCAGGTTGCACCTCATTTTACAACAAAAAATTGTGATATTTCAGTTAAAAACCGATCTTTTTGTACTTGGTGTCGTTTAATAGGAAATTTCAAATTCTAAATAAAAGTGTATTCAAATTTTTTCATAATATCAGCCATTTTTTGTAATTTGCATCTAAAAAAATGGCTGCCATTTTGTAAATTTTAATCAAAACAAAACCAAGTAATTTCTTTGTCTAATATGGGTATATTCTATCTTAACATACATACCATATTTCAAAAAGATTGGTTGAATCAATCCAAAGATAAAAATATTCAAGTAAAAAATACAAAATGGCAGATATAATAAAGTAATTTCTTCAATAATGTAATTTTGTGGAAAAATAATATCTTGATTTGTTAATGCCCGTCACCAGTTGATGGAGGTAAATAAGGAAAGGTGTTTTTATACGTAAAATGTGCTTAAGAGGTGGAGGGAGTTTTGAGATGGTTGTTCCTCAAGTTTAGTTTCAGTCATAGATTTAAGTTTGGAAAATTTGCATTTGTTTGGCGGTGTGACTGAACAAGAAATTTTCAAACTGACTGTGGACATTTGTAAGACAACCAATAACAACGGCGAACCCTGCTATTCTTCAACACACTAATCCGCAAGCAAAGTTTTTACTTTAATATTCCCATCAAACATTTTGCTACAAAAATATTTGAGTTCCACAAAAAGACAAAAGCTAAAATCATGATTGTAGTAAGCAATGAATCGTCTACCATTGTTCTAAGAGGAGGTCTTTCTTATTTCGAGTTTGTTGGAAGGATTAGAAAACATCTAGGCAACCTGGTGAGGACTTTCTATGTCGCTGGAAAAAAATTCGCATCAGCGTCAACCCTAAACAAAACCACAAGTGACAGTGGAGAAGGTCCTGTATCATTCAATAGTAATGTAAATAGTAGCAGTAGTGAACATGTATCCCAACTTGACTCCAATCCCACCCTGACTCCCCTCACTTTAAACTGTCTACACCCACTTATCAACCTAACAACCTAGATAAGTTGGAAAGTAAGAGTTATCAGAGTAATGTGAACTTAAATATTCAAGGCGGAATTGCTAATAAGCTCAATAATCTTAATGTCATTTTACAGAACACAAATATAAATGTTGTCTTGTAGAGCATTGGCTAAAACCTGATCACATAGCTGTTCTTAACGCCTTAAATTCTTTTAGCTTAGCTTTTTTTACCGTAGAAAAGAAGGTTTACATGGTGGATCTTGTAATTTGGTTAGATTTGATGCATTAGTTAAGGATAGAACTGCTCCACTGTACGGTCTCCGTTCCAAATTGGCCATATTAATTCCTTGGAAATGGTAAAAAAGCGTTTCCTTCGCCTGGTTGGTGTTCGAGCAGGGATTTGCTATACAGATGTAAATACTGATCTGGTTGCAGCTCAAATACAATTGCTGCCCCTTTCATCAAGACGAACATTGGTCCTGTTTTTCCTGTACAAAATTGTCAATTACCTGGTGGACTACCTCGAGATTCTTCAATTGTTGAACTTTCAGGTTCCTCAGAGAACACGGCTACAGAACGTCTTTGCCAAGCTGCACTACCCTACCTCATACATGTACCAGAGTCCTGTACCTCATCTTATGCGTCTCGGAAACAACGCCCACCTGGAGTTCTTCGGAGTTGGTCATGCTGCCTTCAGAAGAGATGCATTTTTGAGTGTTGTGAACCATGCATGTAGTGAGTCAACGCAGTGTGCACCTTGTGTTTTATTTATGATCAAGCTTGGTTAAATTATAAATTATCTCTCGTTCATGTTGATCCTGTTCTTGTGGTCAGAGTCTACTTGTTACTATTGTATGCACTATTTATTAGTGTTGTTATTATGTCTTGTTTATTATGTATCGTATGCATCTTGTGTCTCATTTCAGTTGTATGTCTTTGCTCCTAAACCACCTGTAATTTTTCTTGTAATGCTAGCTTCTTTCTTTTTTTTAACTCTTTTATAAATGATGTATTGATTTAATTTTAGTAATTTTATGTGGTCTTTTTAGTCTTAAGTTTTGTTTTTAGTTTTAGTACTCTACTTTATGACAATTTCACCTGTTACGTCAGCTTTGCTGAATTTTGTAATGTGAAAATAAAGGATTGACTATTAATGACTGTCTTGCAGAGAACTGGAAGGGAACCTGCAATCGGCTTATATCAGGTAAATGTGTACAACCTTTAGCAAACTCCCTATGTATGTACTTTTCTACCAAACAGTCAATAAGAGATAATGCAAATGTGGTAGGTATTTTCAAGCAGGATAGTAAAAACAAAAACATTAATTTCTATTCTGTACTTTTTCTAAACACGTCTACCAACTGGCAATAGATTTCAATGAGGGTTGACCCCCTTCCAACATAAACCCATTCAATTAACACGAGGAGTGTGGTTTTCCCCATACAATTATTGGTTGGGACTTACTTTACATAGGGGTGGAACTAGAGGGAAGTAAAAACACAGCACAGGTTTCACATTTGAAATAGCTAGATTTCCTGCGGCTAGATATTGGTGGAGATCTTAATTTATAGACAGCCCTAGTATCTTTATTAAATATGGGAGTTTTGAAATGTTATTGTAGACTTTAAAAGTTTTACCAAAGCTATAGTTGTTTGTCCTAACAGCTATTCTGAGTATACATGAGTCAATCAATTTTCGGCTTGGGTCTAAGTATAAATTTATCCTCATTATAAACTTGCTTGAACAAATACTTAACAAAGAAGCATAACATTTGCTTAGTCTGAATGTTTGATTTATTTGATATATTTTTATTTGAATGTTTTTGCTAATTTAGAGTCTCGATTGATCGGCCCCTTTGTTTTTGTCATAATGCATTTTCCAGAAAATGTTAATCCTTACACAATTATTATTGAGTTTCTATTATTCATCTATCTTGTTATCCGTCCTGGTTCCAGGTAAACAGGGGATGTTAATACAGTTTTCACTGTGTTGCAAAGTTTCTATTCATGTGAGCCAGACTGTCATGATTACCACTTTATCTTTACTGCTATTGTAAGGAAATCTCACCCAGTCTGCTGTGCCACCATCATTGCCGACCAACTCCATATCAACAGCAGAGAAGTTAACATGCACCATCCACTGACTTAGTACAGATGAGGCAGAAACTATGATACCTGACTCATTGCGCACTATCCCTCCAAGAAGATGTGTGTACTCCATACTGAGCCCCAGAACTGGACTGTAACAATTCATCTTGATAAGAAAAGAATTATTCAGATAACTTTTTAAAAACACAATTATAAAATAAGAAAAATTCAAAGCATCGCATATTAATATTTAACAAAAACATGAACTGTTAAAATTTGTAATTTCTTAAAATGTTCTTTTGCCGAATCATCTCGTTTAAGTTTGAGCATAATTCTGATAGCCTCTTTTTGCTGTTTCAAAATGCTATCCATATTTTTTTATTTTTTTTGACCCATACAATGCTAAACGGATTGAAAGATGAGAGTGAATATGAGCAAAATATATACTTTTTAGGGTTTTCAAATCACAATAACACATGTTTGATAATGCAAAGATTCCAGAGTTAACTTTGATTAAAACTTTCTGTGTGTGTGTTTATCCCAATTCAAGTTTCCATCAATTGTTAAACCCAAAAAGTTGATTTGATTTTTCCTTTTGAATGTTATTTGAGTTGTAAGTTATTGCTGGTTCTTTTGTGATTTTGTTCTGTGCTGTTTTAAAATTTATAAATTTAGTTTGATGTGAATTTAATAATAAGTTATGATTGTAGGAATAGTTTCCAATATTATCTAATTCTACATAATGTAAACTTACTTTATTACTTTATTTAAAATCTTAACTTACTTTATAAAAAAAAAAACTATCAATTAAAAAACAAATAGAATAGCACCATGAAGACTCACCTAATTGTTGTCTGATTGAGGGCAAATATTATGTCTTCTTTAGTTATACTTTCGATTTCTTGTTCATCGTACTTCCAAAATTCTAGAATGCTATGCTCATAACAGCCTGTACTAAAACTGCTGACAATAGTGCAGAAAAGGGTTTTTGGGAGATGTACACTGGGCTCAAAATCAAACAAACCACCTCCAACGTCCAAGTGGCTGTCTTCATCTTCTAGGTCATCGGTAAGGTAGACGTTTGAACTTCTTCTTCGTCGTTTGTTTATCTGAACAACTGGGACCCTAGAAAATTGCTGACAAATTATACATATAATATGTAACAATTAGTAATTGATTTACCACAATTTTATAGAATGCCAGAAAGTGATCCAAGTTCAGAAAGGTGTATAAAATATCCTTAAGCTTGACAGACTTGTATTTTTCATTGCACAAATAATTACTGTAACTAATTTCTATGCAGTGAAAATAATGTTTGTAGGGTACAGAAGGTAATAATGTAGTTGCATTAAATATAACTAATATTTTAGCTTGTTAAATGTACACTGTGTTTAGGAATAATATTGTTTTGTTTACTATTTTATTTTAGCTAGGAAATAGTTTTAAAATATAGCATTTTAAACATAAACATTCTTTTTTAATGTTTGTTTGTGGATATATTTTACATGTTCTTTGTGTTAAATAAATGAGGAATTGTTTGATTTGATTAGTTGTGCATAATATGTTTTTAGATATAAGATAAATAAGCAATTTGTAAAATCTGGAAGACAAGGATCATCTTGGGTAAGGAACTTTGTTTATTTAGTACTTTTATGTAAACTTGCATTGGAATGTTGTGTTGTACTTGTACTTCAGCCTGGTTTACAAGTAAAAATGATTATATGGAAATGGTTTCATTATTGTATATTTGTTATTTACAACCTTACCTGAAGCAGACATCCTCCCATGTAACATTCTTTTGTGAGCTTCCTACCACCTGATTCCTGATTTTGACTAACTGAAAACATTCACATCTGTTACAGCAAAAATACAGTCTTAACCCTATAAAACATGTTAAATCAAATGTATACAACAATTTAAAAAAATATATTTAAAAACACAAGTGTTACAGGTCTGTTCCAGAGATTTTTATTAGATTTTGCAAATATTTGTACATTTTACTTGCTTTTCAACAACATAAGTTTGGGCATTGTACAATTGAATATTGTTGTACTTATATTTTCCCTCAGTAACTTAACACATTCACTGCAGCCCATCAATGGCAGCGTATCCCCGGTGCGGCTTAGCATCAAACGAAACCGATAGCCGGATGATTGGCTTTCAAATTTCGGTCTGACAAAAAGCAAATAACGTGTGGTAATGTATTGCATTACGACTAGAGTCGACGTAGTTTGCTACACCCACAGATAGCAGCACTGATTGGAACGTAGCCGGTTTTATTGTATTGCCAATTGGAGGGAGAAAGACAGGACCAAGCTGATTTCTAAGCTTGCCAGACGGAGATTTTACGGGGAAATTTACTAGCAATCTAAACCACAACAAAACGCATGTCACACACTACACGCTAACACCATAGGTCCGTCTTCGACCGACGCTAGGCACAAACTGAGCAACATTTCATTTAGTGAGTCGGTGGCTCAGTCGGTAGCGTCGCAGACTTCGGGCTCAAGGCAGCGATGTCATGGGTTCGGATCCTGGTCACTGCCACTAAAATTTATCAGTACAGTTCACCTTTGTACTGTACCGGCTCACTCCTTGCTTTGCTGTAAACGTTCCACGCATGGGCGGTTAGTCTATGTGGACGGGCAAATGCAAGGTTAAAAGAGGCCACCAAACTCTTAAAAAAAAAAAAAAAAAAAAAAAACAGATTGATGCACTGCAATGTGGGTATGGGTGGGTCAGAACTGACCGTGTGACGGTTGCGATGACCGTGGGTCACGCAGGCGAGCGGGGCCACCTAGAGGGGCACCGCGGCTTTGGAAGGTATTATTTAATATACAACTCGTACTATTACTACTTTTACGTCTGGCATGTGACTTGTTGGCAATAATGCGAGTCTGAGACACACACACTGCGTATTCTTCCACACGCCCCACCTACACTTGTTTGTTTCTAACCTCAAAGCTCAAACTCTTACGTCAACTCATAGTCGTTTCGTGATATACGTTGTGAGTCGCAAATTCAATGTTTTTAGTAATTTAGTTCAGTGTAGTTGCTACGTTTATAAAAAATACTTGCAAAACGTTCGATACTGATATATTGGGCGTTGGGTCTATTGACGTAAACCCCCCTTTTTTGGGGAGGGGGCGAAAATTTAAATCTCGCCCCGGGTGTCTATTACTCTCAGGGTGGCCCTGTTGGTCAATATCATAACATGTTAAATAGTATCCGTTTGGGAAGTATATAATAAAAAAGTATATAAAAAGTATATAAGTATAAAATTGGGAAGTATATAAAAAAGTGTAATCACTTTTTTCATTGGTATTTTACTGTTCTTTGTTGCATGTGTTTTTTACAGTTAAGTTATATAAAAAAAAAAAATAATAACCTCTGTTATTGTTGTAATCTTAGATAACATTATTATTTTTGTTGTATTTGTGTATTGTATCAATAGTGAATAGACTGAATAGACTCTGCCAGTAACAACATCGTAAAATTGCATGTAGGCCTACCTAAAGATTTCCTCGCACGTGCGTGTGCACAAGTGGATGTGAAATATTTAGCATGATGTTGCATGAAATAAAGGTTTTTGAATTGAATTGAATTGAATAATATAGTTTCCTCTTTGTAACTAGACTTAAAGCTAAATTTATGGATGAATTACAGACACAACTATTTTCAGCAAATTTGTGGAGCTATCATCAGGCGGTAAAAAAGGGAGTTTTACTTCTTCATATGAAGAGTGTCACATTTAACACGTAAAAATAAAGAGGACACAAACACGGAACACATTTCTGCAAACTGAACAGTCATCATAACAGACAACGCTAACCCGACGAAGTTTTAAGTCCAGAAACATATCCATAGTACACCATCATAAGAGTGGAAATATCTACTGATATGGATAGATCAGGTATTGTAATATCTGTTATGTTTATTATATCTGGTGTAAAATCGCATTGATAGTTTGTGATCAATAACAGCATATTGTTAGTGATGCTACACATTTTTTCTGGAAATTCTCTGGTTTTTTATAAACAAGTGGCATTACAAAATAAATAGATAGTTGGGTGGAAGAATACATAGTTCTAAGTGAAGAATCTTGAACATCTTGAACATTTTAATTGACTTGGGAAAAGTTACCAGAATATAATTCTATGGCAAATCAGGTATTGATTAATTTGCATAGGAGACTTGTTAGCAAATTTCCCTATAGGGAAGTAGCTATTACCGTATGTCTCATGGTAAGAATTAAGCCTGGAACGGATTTACTTTTTCATTTTGATGTCCCCTGGGGCCAAAAACACCATTTGTTCAAGTTTTTATATATGCATATACAGGGTGTTCAAAAAGGCTGGGGACATATTTAACCTAGTGATTCCTTGGGTCAAAATAAAGAGAAGTCGAGAATAACATGTTTCCCAAAACCGCTTCCTAACCAGATATCCGCCATTTTGTATTTTTTGCATAAACATTTTTATCTTTTAATATTTTTAACCGATCTTCATGAAACTTTTAAGTAATGTATGTGAAGGTAGAAGAGACCCATGTTAGAAAAAAGATTATTTTGATTCAACCTAAAATTTCAAAATGGCGGCCATTTAAAATTTTTAAACTTAAATTAATTTCAAATGGCTGGTTTTATGAAAAAATGTCAAGAACACTTTTATTTAGCATTTTTATTCATCTATCAAACGATACCAAATTCAAAAATATTGAATGAGAAATATTTAGCTGAAATATTACGATTTTTATTTGTAAAATGGGGCAAACCTGACTAGCTTCTGCCTTATTCTACCCTAACTAAAAATCGTAATATCATGGAATATTATAGTATGTTACTCTTGATTTTCAGTATATCGGTTTTTTTGTCCTAGGACGCTAGGCAGGAGCCCGGAATTGTTTTTAACATTACTTCAGGCTAGACCTAGGGGTTGCGGCATTATTACATAGATAAAATCCATAGGTGATTTGGCGGAATTCGAGCCCGGGACCTCTGGAACCGAAGTCCCGCGCCCTAAACTCAAACTCAAACTCTTTATTTGCCATAAAAAACATTACAAATTTGAGCATAGCTCATGTAACAGATGGCATGTCAATTATAACTAGAGTGTAAATTAATTATTACAATTAATTACAATTACAATTATTACAATTAATTATTTAAAAATCAAATATAATGGATAGTCTAACAAAAATGAGAATATATACAGTACAACACCCCTGACTCAGACAGATGTGCTCATTTAAAAACAAAATCGTCCACTTTATAAGGACATGTTGCAGCTAGATGAGTTTCCAGTTTTTTTAAAAATGTGTTAGTTTTTTTTTCTTTTTTTATCTCTGGTGGAAGGTGATTAAACAGTTTAATTGCCATGTAATATGGACCCTTCTCCAAAAGAGACAATCTATGTTTAGGGTACCGCAGAGTGTCTGTGTTTATTGTACCCTGAGTCCCCAGACTGTTATTTGAAAAATATTGTTGATGTTTTTTAAAGAATTTCAGAACTTCAAAAATATAAAGAGCTGGTACAGTTAATAGTTTAGAATTTTTGAAATATTGTTTACATGATTTTCCAAATTTTAGTTTAAACATTGCTCGAATGGCCTCTTTTTGTAACTTGAATATCTTGTCAATTACTGATGTCCCACCCCAAAGGATGATGCTGTATCTAACAATTGATAAAAAATAACCATGATAAACCTGAAGACATGTCTTTATATCTGAGATGTTGGCAATAGTTCTAATAGCATGAAGAGATTTATTAAGTTTTTTTTTTGTATGGCCAGAATTTGATCATGCCATTTTAAGTTGTCCTGAAGTGTAGAACCTAGAAAGTTCACACTAAGGGAATTTTCACAAAGTTCTTCATTTGGCATGAGGAATTCCTCATTTATTTGTTTGTTTCTATTGTTAGAAGTGAAAGCTAAGATTTTTGTTTTGGAGCAATTCAAACTAAGACAGTTTTTGGATAGCCAGTCAGATATTTCTTGGAGAGTATTTAAAAGCTTTACTTTTGTTATTTGTTTGTTTTGACCCATAATTATTGCTGTAGTGTCGTCTGCAAAAAGGTAAAGTGGAGTATTAATGTTGATTGGCAAATCATTAATGTACAACAGAAACAATACTGGCCCTAAAATAGATCCCTGCGGCACCCCACAGCCTAATCACTAGACCAGCTCGCTTTCCGATATATCAGCCTTAGGAGCTCAAATGATTAAGGTTTTGTATACTAGTGAAGACATTGTTCTCAAAAAAATCATTTGTAACCCTATAACATTTTAGGTAGTAGGTAAATAAGTTTGTTAAATAGTAAAATCCAATAAGGTGCTGACTAGTTGTGTTGCAAGCTTAACATTGTCATACTGCCGTCCCATTAGTCATAGTGCTATTGTTGTTTGTTTTATGATATCCTTGTTTTGTGTCCCCTGTTGCATATTTATTTATTTTGATGTGTGACGTGTTGCATGCTTTGACAATCTTGAGCTTACAACAAAACTACTTGTCACCTTGTTAATGGAAATGTTGACTACAGAGAGAGGTAAGATCATGTAAGGAGTCCAAACAGCTGACTATACCTGCTGCAACACATGGGGTTGAAGTACATCAGGTGCTGTGAGCATCACTGTTTGGATGCGATACCCTTCTCCAAACCCACTCATGAACCAATCTGTGTCCCTCTTAAACTCTGATTCTGGTGGAATCCACAGCTTCATCGGATTTTTTTCTTGGTGGAAATTGAGTAAACCGGTACAGCACGCTAACGTAAGAAGCAACGACAGAGACACAAACTTCCACGGATGGTTTGACACCAAGATTCCATAACTGTAACAAAGATCGTTTCATATTAGGTATAAGCAAAAGAGTCTAAAGTATAGTACATATACATATTAATTCAGATGATCTTTCATTGTATTAATGGATTAATTAATGGAGGAAATAGACAGAAAATAGAAAAAAAAAACATTTTTTAATTTGTAACTGCATATAGTTCTAAAAGTCATGGTTTCATGTCAAGACAATTTCAAAAACTACTCCCGGTGTACATTTTGCATCGTAGCTAATAAAAGAGTAGGTTTAGACAAAAAATGTGAAGAATACATAAGTCGTCAAATTGCATCAACATTCCAAAAAGACCATAAAATATGTGAAAAATATTAATTCTATTATTTCAAAATTTGCGGCCAAAAATGTGTATTTTATGGTCTTTATGGAATGTAGATGCAATTTTAAGACTTATTTTCCCTTAGCATTTTGGCTTGTTTAGGAGCTACATGATGCAAAATGTACACCGGAAGTCATTTTTTCATGGGCTGTAACTAGGCCTAGTAAAAGAGTGGGTTTACAGAACAAGTGTAAAAAATAAAAGTTTTTAAATTGCATGTTCTACCTATTCAAAAACATGAAAAATATATGGGTTTTCCATAGGAAATTTCAAAGTTTGCTGCCATGTTGGAAAATGGCGGCTGAATTTGGAAAAACTAAATTCATATTTTTAACTGCCACAAAAAAGTAAAGGAATGTCATTTAAAGTTTTCTCTAATTCTCTAACGTTTCTGATATCCCAATGGTGGCCTTCTTGAGTTGATCACCCTGTATATGTGTCCGTTAGCACGATAACTCGAGCAAAAATGATTCGATTTTGATTAAGTTTGAGTATAAACGTGTAAACATACATTTATTCGAACAAGTTTGTGAACCAGCATGATCGGACTATGGGAACAGGGGTTTATGGGGGTTTTATGGGGTAAAAATAGGTTTTTTCCATTTTCACCCTAAAAACATAAGGCCCATTCTACACGAACACCCCCTTTAAACCCAGAATGTGTCAGGGCCACACACTTCACAGGGCCCATTGCGTTAAATTGGTTTGTTTACACAAGCGGGATTCACGACCCGGGTGGACGCGTCAGTAGGCAGGAGCCGCGTCAGTTGACGTCGATGTCGGCGTCAATCCCGCATCGGGAATCCCTCCAGCCATTCTACACGTAGCGATATCACCGCGCCCAGGAGCTTACTTCACATGATATTATCCAGTTACGTTTAAGTTGGTCCAACACAGTGCGGTGTAATATTTGATCATAAATGAGACATTAAATTAGTTTTCATATGTTTACATTTTGTATTTCTTTAGTCAAATAATTGGTCAGCTTCAGATAGTAACTTAAGTAATGTGTTTGACATAAAGTAGGCTACATTTAGTTTATTTACATTAATTACAATAGATATTCATTTTTAATACCAAAGTGAATTTAAAAATCACAATATGACAACTAGAATAGGTTCTATAGATAAGCGATTTTGAATAAACAGAAGTTGAAGTAAGCTATATTTCAAAACAATGTGAATAAATAACAAAGAAAAGAACAGCTTGGCCAAAATTAATAGCTTGAGCTTGATAACTCCAAATATAAAAACTAAGCTCCACCCCACCTCATCCCGCGTCTACGCGACGGGGATCCTGCCACGTGTAGTTTGCACAAAATGTTGGTGCGTTCACGCGGGAATCCCGTAGCGGGTTTCACGCTCGTGTAGAATGGGCCTAAAGTTTTGCAATTTCAAACCTAAGTAATTATTAAAATTAATGATATTTAAATAGGAAATAAATCTGAAAATTGTAAGGGAATAATTTAGTGGAATTCCAGCCAGGTAGATGGAAATTCGCTTGGTCTACAGATTTGCTGTGGCGAGGGTATTTTTTATATACAGCATTAAATGTTTCTATTGGTATTAAACGCATATCAAAATTGTGTATGACCAACATTTGTTCTATTAAATTTCTTTTTATCCTCACTTCATTCAGTTATTATATCATACAATCATACTATGCTCAATGATTAAATCCATAGCCCACTTATGGTAATTAATTACCGCAGTTGGTTAATTGTCCATTGCAACAGACTGGATAAAGTAGCCCTGCTAATTTACTACAACTGGCTCTATTAATGATTGAACTAGGGTCACAAATGGAAGCCTAATTGATTAATTAGTCCAAGGAACATCCAGGTTAACTCTGACCTTCAATCGTTGATTAAGTAACTTGAGATATCTTGATAAAGATACCATATTGTTTTGAAATTCTATGTATCTATATGAAAATTGCTCTGTCTAAATTTGTATTGCTCCAATTGATTGAACATTAAATTTTTCAAGGTGCAATTATCTGGATATGAAATAAATTACATTTTTTATGAAGATTATTTGAGTTGGGGTGACATTTAATTTTAAATAACTTCTTGATCAGCAACAAAAAGTAAAGTTGATTTAATTTTAGATAAGCCTATACAAATTTTCTATTGTATGCAAGCACGTTCGTAGTTTTGTATCTTCTTTCAATTTTTAAAATATATTCTTGAGTGTGGCAGATTGCGTGAAAATATAATAATAATATCTATGGTTCTTACCGTCAACGCAATCAGGAGTAATATTCCACTACGGCCGTTTCGGAGATGACTCCATCGTCAGGTGCGTAGTGGTACACTAAACTATAGTCTTGTCACACTTAACACGAGTTTTCTTCATTTGCATTGCGTCAGGGGTTGAATAAATAATACACATATATGTATAGGACGGACACACGAAAACATTTAGAGCACGTGCACGGCTTGAAAACTGACGATCGACTCAAGTCAGTCGGTCGTCAGTTTTCAAGCCGTGCATGTGCTCTAAATGTTTTCATGTATTCGTGTTTTCGTGTGTCCGTCCTGTCCATATATGTGTATTATTTATTCAACCCCTGACGCAATGCAAATGAAGAAAACTCGTGTTAAATGTGACAAGACTATAGTTTAGTGTACCACTACGCACCTGACGATGGAGTCATCTCCGAAACGGCCGTAGTGGAATATTACTCCTGATTGCGTTGACGGTAAGAACCATAGATATTATTATTATAATTTTTAAAAGAATAGGTACGGGAATCACAGGTTAATTTTATCCACGAGAAAACTGATATGATGACTTCCTAACTTGAGCCTAAAATATAAAAAAATCCCTATCTTTTTTACGAAACTGCTTAACAACCTATCGTGGCTTTACTCCTGAAAATTTAAGTTTAACATATGTGTTTAACAAATTAATAAAACCACTGTTCACTTTTCCCTTAGTTAGTTGTATGAAATTCAAAAGTATTCATCTGTTTAAATATAAATTAGGATAGAGACCACTGGGGCAGAGTCCTGAGGAGTTTTTCAAAATTTTATTTCACACAATCCTTCCCGGTGGTCAACTTGTCAAAGTTTCATCAAAATCGGATGACCGGTTTGTTAACACATAAAGTACAAACATACAAACAGACATACAGTGGATTTTATATAGATGTGAAATGACTGGGTTTCTTTTTCCAACAATGAAAATTAAATGTCAGACAGCAATATCAAATTTTTACCTTCTGGTTTGTAGATTGATTTTTATGGGTAGGCCTAATTGTGTTAGTAATTGTTTGTTGTGAATTATCATGTCAGATTTATTTCCTACTAGTGTAAATGTTGCTTGAACTTAAGCAACTGCAAAGTATTACAGGAGTTATTTCAAAACGAATAACAGTCATAATTTCTGTTGAGTTTAAAAGAGTCAACTCAAAGATTATGTAACCAATAGAAATAGAAATACTCACGATGTACATAACAGTACGATATAATTAACATTTCTTGTAAATATTTTATCATTTTTCAAAAGCTGATCGTGTTTTCTATAAATGTTTCCCGACTTATCCAGAGCTGCATAAGGTTGTCCATGTTAATCTTCGTTATTTGTTTATTTATTTAAATGCTACAATACAGACTTATGTCCAATTAAACATAGGGACTTCTTTGTGACGATTTTATTTGCTTCAATTGGCATTCTTTTGGTTAGTTGCTGTAATAACGTCAATTATACGAGGGCGGTTTTTTATGTAAGGGCCGGTTACGTGTATAAATCCGTAGTTGGGGGTGGCTGTGGCAATGGCGGATCGTACTGAAGTGATAGTGTGTCCCTGTTGCAATAAATTGTGCGAGGATAAGGAAAAAGCGCTTTTTTGTGATGGAATGTGCGGTTCCTGGCACCACGCAAAGTGCGTCAACATTTCTATCAAGAAATACAATGAAATATGTAAGCTAGAAGACGTAATTAAGTGGTTTTGCGTGAGGTGCGATGATAGGGTGAAGAACATGATCGTACTGGACAGAAAGCAACCGGGTATCATCAATGAGATATCAGAGATCAAGGAACACGTAAGTCAGTTTACGAAGCTTGGACAAAAATTGGAAAGAAAAATTAACATTCTTATCAACTATAGCCTTAAAAACAAAATTGGAATAAATCATCTATTAAATTCACACAAGCCAGAACTCTCCTTAACTCTGAATGAAACTGACATGTCTTGTCTTGATGTCGATGTCGAGGCAGTTTTGGCAGATGCTGGAGCATCGAACACGCAAACTGTCGGTCTACGTCCACGGAATGAACCGGAGCGGGTCAACGGACTGGACCGAGACCAACCCGGAGTAAATGGATCCGAAAGGAGTGAAGCTGAATCTGGAATGGGAATGGTTGTACGAACTGAAACTGAAAGTGAAAATGAAATTTACGTGGCTGCGGATGTTGGGGACAACACCACTCGTGCAGAAGATACAGTTTTTTTAACCTCAAAAGACTTAACCCCAAACAAAAAACTTACTTATGCAAAAGCTTTAGGGAGTAAAAAAACTAAAGGAAAAGTGGTGGAAAGTGCTAAGTCTAAAGTATTAAACAGACAGGAAGTCATTATAGGGACTTGTGGGGAGCAAACTAATCTTAAACCTGCCGGAAATCAAGCTTTGTTCTTTATATCAAGATTGTCACCA